AACAAATCCATCTTCCAATTGGCTGTAATTTGAGAACTTGATTGGTTAAGATTAAAAGGGGACACTGACAACGAATCAATCGTGATCTCAGGCCAGTTATTAGTACTATACTCAACACTCAGTTTTCCCAAATACCAACCGACTAAGGAGGAAAGACCGATCCATACAGTGATGATCAACAATACTATCATCACCGACTCACAACATGAAACATTACTAACACTGGTATAGCTTTATCTGTTTGGGATCGCTACTGCCGGAGGAGGGGGCGGAGATTGTTGCCGGTGTTGTTGTTGGTTGTCGACCATCACCATCGTGGGAGGAGACGCTCAGAGCGGCAAACAGCGGCCTCACCGGGACGCCGATCATGGGAGCAGAATTTGGTTCTATGACAATAGTAACTTGTTGATTTCTACATGTGTCTGCAGGATAAGTTGCAAAAGACGAAGAGTTCATCTTGATTTCGTTAAAGAAAAAGCAGAGAGAAAGTGATCAATCGAACTAGGATGAAAAGAAAAATAAAATTAATACAATTAGGATGATAATTTTTTATTGCACATTTAAGGGACTGAAAGAAGTATTCATATAGATTACTCCGATAATAATATTAGAGATATATTCGTATTCTTGTTAGATACTAAGTCTAGCGGGTTGTGTTGGTCAACTTTGTTAAGACTTGGTTTTATTTCTCTTTCTTTTTCTTTTTTTCTTTGGCATGTGCAGTTATTGTGAAGTGTTTCAAAATTAGTAAAACAAAGGCGAGCGATAGTTAGTTCGGGACCGGCTTCGGCGGGGCCTATAGCGTGACTCGCGTGGTAGATGGCTGGGGGTATTTATAATGAACATAAGGTTTTTGATCACTGGAACGGTGCTTTGGAATATCTTTCAGGGGCTTCAATTTTTGGGTTTTCGGATGATTGAGGTAGAGGTGGATGTGTCGCTACTTTAGTCCAAAATGATAATGATATATTAGGAGTTCATGCAGGCAATGCTAGGTGTGTGGGAGCTTCTAAGTAGAGAGAGGTATGTTCATATATGTCATGAGACAAATTTTGCAACAGATCATTTGGCGCAGCAGGAGCAGGTATTTGTAAATTTTATAGATTATATGCATGTTTTCTCTTCTAGCTTATGGTCGTGGCTAAAATAAGATATCATTGATGTTTCTTATCTATGATCAGTTTATAATATAAACTATTAAAGTTTTTACCTTTTTTATTGTACCAAAAAAAAAATATATGAAAGAAGTAATTTTTTGCTCCCAGAAAAAATTATTATTGTTGTACCTAGATTAGCCCTAGACAATCATAGGTTTAACCCTCTCATATCCCAAAACTATCATTATTATTGTTTATACTTTGAAATGTGAAGAGTCATTCAATTCCCAAAAACTATGTTTCCTAATTAACCAGATTTATATCGTTAGGAAGAGTAGATACTTGTCCAAAATAATTAAATCCTTATGGCAGACTGACGACAACATCTACATTGGACTCTCCAAACGTCGGCTGACACTGCCATCATTGTCTATCACCGGATGTTCCTCGTTAAGAAAAGAATCGCATGCATGGAGCCATCGAATTATCCTCATGGACTGGATGATTGCTTGATTTAAACCAGAGTAAGAGAGATAAAAGCTCTCCAAAAACTTAGAAAATTGGATGACTTGAACGACAACCGAATTTAATTTGGGGAGAAGAAAAAATTAACTTTGCCGGATCAAAGATACTTTCTATAGAACATTTGTTTTTTGCTCTTACCGTTAAAATTTGTTCTAACGATGTCATTGGCCCTAAAAAGGTAATGTATGATGCAAGAATTAGAATATATGAAAACTGACCATACCCGCTGGCCCATATTTGGAAACTGACCATACTCGCCGGATTTTATAACTAAAACTTGATTTTTATGTGTCCCTTCAATTTTGAAATTATTGTCTGTTTGGATTTTCGGCAAATTCTTGGATGTACTCGGAACCACTATGGTCCTCCTCCTATTTTTTGCATTATTAGTCTTTATTGTACTTTTTTTAAATAACTTCCTATATTTTGCAAATTTAGTCCCTGTTACTTTTTTTCTCTCTCTTCTAAAAACACATCTCTAATCTTTAAATGAGCATAACTCTCAATCTGTAAAGAATTTGTGAACAAATTATATATGAAATTCATATTACTCATCGAGATCTATCTAACAAGATCTATATCGAATATTTTTTTCGAACTTAAAAATAACTAAATTTTGAGGGGCAGAAATGAAGGAAATTGTATGTTATTTGGATGAATATCCAGTTCAAAAATATGGATAACCAAGTATTTTATATTTATATTCTTGTAAAATTTATATCTCTCAATCTGTAAAGAATTAGAAAACGAATTATATTTAAAATTTATAGTGCTCGACGAGATCTATCCGATATGATCGATATTTAATATTAATTTTAAAAAATAAAAAAATTTAAAATGTTCCGGACAGAAATGAAGAAAATATTGTCTTGGATAGTCAGTATAAATACGTCGGATAAGCAATAGAAAACCGATTGATAGGCGGCGGCCCGATTCAAATTCACTCTCACATTTTTTGTCGATGAAAATAGGTACATTCGGATGCATTGGATAAACACTACAATACCAATAGATAACCGCCGTAATTTGGACAAGCCATAAAAATGATTGGATAAGCAGTTCAAACCGATTGGATAATCAGTATAAAAAATACGGAAAAGAATATCCAAGAAAAATGTAAAAGCAAAAAAAAAGTTGGAGAAACAGTGGAAACCCGTCAGTTGGATAATCGGTATGAAAACATTGGACAACTGTTTTTCAAAAAAAAATAACAGAAAAAAATGATTAGACAAACAGTACAAAACCTGCTTGGATAAACAGAGAAAATGGTTGGATAACCGATACAAAATGACTGGATAGTCAGTACAAAGGGCCGGACAAGGATTTTCACCAAAAAAATAAAGAAAAAAAATTTGGTTGGATAATCAGTACCAAACAGTTGGATGTCATCAATTTATTACTAATTATCCGAAAGTTTTATACTGTTTGTCCATATATTTTGACTGCCTATCCAACTAATATGATTATTCCTTATCCACCATAACACTGGACTTTAAATCTTTAACCAAACTCAGTCAATGTCTCAATAACAAAGATTAAATGAATAGAGATCAAATTAAATTAGATTTCTGAAAATCCAATCATGTTATTAAGGGTAGGGATGGTTATTGTTGATAATTCAAAAATGATTAAAGTAGTACAAACTTGTTTGGACAATCGGTAAAAACAATTGGACAACCAATACAAAACGTTGGATAATCAGTATAAACATATTGGACAAGCAGTAAAAATAATTGGATAAGTAATACAAACTGGTTGGATATCAGTATAAAAAAAATTAGACAATTACGTTTATAAAAAAAAAAGAAAAAAATGTTGGATAACGATTACAAAGAAGTTGGATAATCACTATGAACATATTAAACAAATATTTTCTCAAACGAAAAAGAAAAAAAAACATTAGACAAACATCACAAACCATGTTTGGGATAACCAGTAAAAATGATTGGATAACCAATACAAAATGGTTGGATAGTCAGTACAAAAAACTGGACTAGGATTTTTAGAAAAAGAAAAAGAAAAAATGGTTGGATAAGCCATACCAATCAGTTGGATAATTACTATGAACACGTTGGACAACCATTTTTCGAAAAAGAAAAATAAAAACTATGTTGGATTAAATAGGACCTAGCAGTTGGATAATCACTAGAAATATATTGGACAAATATTTTCATAAAGAATGAAATAAAAAAAAATAGCTGGATAAGCAGTGCCAAACATTTGGATAATCACTATAAACATATTGTACAACTATTTTCTCTAAAGAAAAAAAAAAGAAAAAGAAAACATGATTGGACAAGTAGTACAAATCTGTTTGGAAAATTAGTAAAAATGATTAGATAAGTAATACAAAATGATTGAACAAGGATTTACATTAAAAAAAAGAGAAAAATGACTGGATAACCATTACCAAGCAGTTGAATAATCACCACGAAGACAACCATTTTCTTAAAAAAAATGAATGGATAAGCAGTACATAAAAATGGATAATCTATTCAACCCGGTTGGATAATCAGAATGAACGCAATGGATAAGTGACATATTCCTTTATTTCTGCCCATAAAATTTAAATGTGTTTAAAACTTTAAAAAAAATCGATATGGACCTTGTTAAATAGATCACGTCGACTACTATAATTTTCATATATAATTTGTTTAAAAATTCTTCACGAATCATGAAATATGTGCAATATAAGAATATTCATATAAAATAAGTTGGTTATCTATATTTTTAAACTACCTATCCACCTATTTTTGTCCATCAAAATTTAATCATTTTTTAAGTCCAAAAAAAAATTTTCATATGAACCTCGCTGGATAGATCTCGACGGGTACTATAAATTTCATATATAATTTGTTCACAAATTCTTCACGGATCATGAGTTATGCTCATTTAAAGATCAAAGATGCTTATTAGAGGAGAGAGAAAAAAAAGTAACAAGGACTAAATTTGTAAAATATAAGCAGTTATTTAAAAAAAGTACAATAAGGACTAATAATACAAAAAATAGGAAGGGGACCATGGTGGTTTTGGGTACACTCAAGATGGTCTCTGGATTTTCATTTTTAGTTCAAATTGGACTAAAACTGAAAAATACAAACTGAATGGATGTCATCTTAAAAATAAAAATCCAAACTGACAATAATTTTGAAACTTTTGAACTATAATTTTGGGAATGAAGGGATGTATCTTAATTCTTCCTCCAAAACAAAAATATCGAATAGAATAAAATACAAGAAAATACTACAATTTACAATCGAGTGAGTAACACTACTTTTATCACTTCTGAAGTTATAATTATACTTAACAAACAACAACATCATTAGAGATGGGAAATCAAAATGGGAAGGAAAACTCAGAAACTCATTTGGGGTGAGTTTAATGTAAATGATGTCGGATTTCAAAAAAGGCAGAATCGCACCTCTTGGGCCCTCCTAAGAGAGTTCCTGGAGGCTGTAATAATGTAGTACTAGCATTATTAGAAGAAGACAATCCAGCCACCGTTAAATTCTTGCATCTTGCAACGATTGGAACTTCAAAGGACTCCGAATCCCACATCCGAGCTTGAAACACGACATCAAAAGCCATCGACCCATTATTTCTCGCTACATCGTCCGACATCGAACTCGCAACCGGAGCTTCAACACTTTGGATCCAAGCCGTTGCTTCGGCGGTTAACTTGGCTCGAGACTTGGGCTTTTGCCGGAAAGCGCCCGCAATGTTCTTCGCCTTCCCGAGGTATTGATCGTCGTCGGTGCCGTGGTACAATACAAACACGTTACATCTGTCGTACCGCAGATGGCTATGGTGATTGACATTTCTTAGGGTTAATTGAATCGTCAACCAGCCCAACCATTAGACCTCCAACGATCAACAATGTTGCTCCAAAAACCATGAAACCTAGAAGACATTGATTTTGGGTGTTGTGGTTATTATTATTATTGATTCTGCGATTATTACGGCCCGAAGAAGGAGCCGATGGTGGTGGCCTAACTGAATTTGTAGGATGAAAAATGCCGCCGTTGTTGTTGGTGGTGCTGTTGGAAGCGGGAGGTGGCGGAGTCGGCGGCGGCCTAACCGGGAACGACACCGGGACGCCGATCATGGGAGCAGAATTCGGTTCCGTGACAATGGAAACAACGAGTTGATTTCTGCATGGATCTACCCGCGGGTAACGTACGGGAGGAGAAGACTTCATCTTGGTTAATTTTCTTTCGTTAATTGAAGAAGAAAAAGCACAGAGAGAGAAAAGTGATCATCAATCAAACCACGATCGATTTATCGAGTTTGTTAGTAATTGCTTATTTATATACTCTGATGACGATCGAATACCATTCGTATTACAAGTCTATCACCAGTTGCACGAAATATTATTCAGGTAATTAGTCAATTCCATGTTACACTTTAAAATTGATCTCAGGGATACAAAACTCAATACTTCCTCTGTCTCAAAACACTGATTCGTATTGTAACTTGTGCTTTGTTTTAAAACAATGCAAATTATAAATTGTAATATGAATTATTTTTCCTATTAGAGCAAAAGGAGAAAAATAAATCAAGTCGGGAGGGAGGAAAAAGACCTTTTTTATTAGTGGTGAGTAAGACTACAAAGAATGTGGAGTTGGAAAATTCTACCTTTGTCCTAAAAAAAATTTACATTATTGAATGCAAATCAAAATTTTGAAGTATTTTTTTAAGAGTAATCTATTCAAATGGTCCTTTACATTTGTCAAAAAATTTAATTTGGTCCTTAACATTAACAATTCACTGGTGTGGTCCATTATATTTGTATTTTCTACTAATTTGATCCTTTTTACTTTTTTCTGACACTTTACATTGGCGGATCTTGAGTTGATCATTTTTTGGTGAAGTCAACAGAAGTATTTTCAGCAATTCATAATTTTAATTTTTAAAAAATATAAGAAATAAATTTTGATTACAATAATATTAAAATATTCTATTAATTTATAATTAATTAAGATCTTCTTAAAAAATGTTTTGAAAATTCAAAATTAAAAATTAAAAATCTGACCTCCCCCCCCACCCCCCCAATAGTCCTTCTTTCAAATTAAGTTAGTCGCATACGTTAATTTGGATTCTTTTTTCCTTTTTTTCTTAATGTTTGGGATGTTGTTCTGTGTATGATTTAATATAAAAAATAAATAAATAAAATGTGATGCAACATTTGGGAGGTGACATGAGCAATTATGCATATTTTATTCTCCAAAGTAATTGTTTGTGCATATTTTATTCGCTAGGTTTCATTGCAAGTGTTGTCGACAATTCATCATCATACTACAAATGGAATTACACATTTTTGTTCATTTTTACTATATAAAAATGTTTGAAAATGTTAAGAGTAGATTAAGAAATTAGAGGAGGGAAAAAAAACTAAACACTCCTCCATTATTAGGCCAGTCATATATCGTTTGGTTGTTCATCACTAATTTCACGATTAAACTTGTCATAATGATAACTAGATATTAATCCCGTGCAATACGTGGAATTTATCGCAACACTATAGTAAAATTAAAAAAATAAAAAATAAAAATGTGACAAACACAAATGATGTTAATGAGTTGTGATTGTATAGATAATAATGTGAAATTATAAGAATTCCGTATAAATACAAAAATATAAATATTGCATATCATATCAAATTAAATATTGTGTAGATTATGAGAATGTTTAACCTTGGTAGTGATGAAAGTAGAGGTTATACATAGTAGTAAAAAAGAACTAGACCCTAAACAAATTAAATTTCATTTGGCTCAAATTGAGGAATGCGGATGATGATTGTTGTTTGTTGCTCTTTGAGTTGATTTTTTTTTGTGACAAATTATTGGTTGTTGATATCTTCTTAATCCCATCTCCCTTAGTTTTTGGAGAATATGGTAATAAGAAATTATATTTTACTTAATTTGTATTAATTAAATTTATGAGGGCTTTGTCTTATATTTTACTTAAAATCCTATGTGACACCCTAAGAAGACTTACCCGTTTTTCTTTCTGATTTCTCCTTTATAATATACTGTAGAAGATAGATAGATATAGATAAATAGATTTTAAACTTGTAGGAAATTTAAATACAATAGAACTTTCTTTTACTGTAAAACCTCCATAAATTAATAGTACTGGCTCAAAAGAATTATTTCTTATAGAAATTATTATTCCATCAATAAATTAATTACAATTATTTTATCGATAAATTATCATTTATTAACATAGAGTTTTTTTTTTTCTAATTCAATTATGAAAAAAAATTTTATCACCTTTAACCTTACTTTCCGTATGTATTTATCATCCGATTTTTTTATATTTATGGATTGAAAAGAAAATCATTGATAAAATCTTCTCGGATTTAAATTTTAAGAAAAAACAAAGCTCAATATCATCATCCTTTCTTAAACCTTCTTAGTTTTTTCTTCTCTTTTTTTGTTATTATTTTTGGTATTTTGGATGATTATTAATATTTTTCAAAGATTTACTATCTCATTAATTATCCATTTTGTTGCATTTTGCATTGGTTTCGAGTTGGGACTGAAAAACTTTAGTATATATATTAGTGTTTATTAATTTATAGAGTATCAATCGGGGAATTTTGATTGTATTTTAGTTGAAATATTCTCAATCCAACACACTTTTTTTTTTTGGAAAGAAAATCTAAAAGAGGAGAATATCAATCACGGTTATTTTAGACAATTCAATCTTTTTTTTGGTTTCTCATTGCAAAAAAAATAAAAATAAACACAAAAATTAGTGGCGATAGGAGAAGCATCGTTGCTGAATCTTCCGGTATCTGCTTCCTACCCGCCGTAGTCCAACCCACAATAATTGCTGACATTCATTCCAAATTGTGGTGAAAAGTGAAACCTTTGAGCGGTTTAAGTTGCCTTATGTATGGAGGATTCGATTGGTTGAGTTTCCAGTCCAGTGCAGCAGCAACAATCAGTGTGTATCAGTATGAATACGGGGCCGGGTTCAGGGTCGGAGTCGAAGTCGCCGGAATCGGATTTTAACTCCTCTCCGAACTCAAACGGTTGGGGCAAAGCTAGAGGAGTGGTGCTTAAGTCGATAGTGTTAATCGGAGGGGCGCTTTTACTGAAGAGGCTCACCAAGTCCACTACTCGCTGGGACCATGCTCGGTTCGTGGCACAATCCCTCGCCGGCGAGAAGGTAACTGAACTCTTTCCGCTTCTGTTATTGGCTTTTCATACTTCTCTTGTCAATTACTTTCCGGTTGATTATTGAATTTTTGTGTTTGGTTAGTTTTCCAAGGAGCAGGCGGCCAGAGATCCTGATAATTACTTTAATATGAGGTACCCTCTTTTGCTTTTTTACCTTTTTCAATGTTCATTCAGTGTTCTGTTTCCACTTTTGCTTGTTCAATTGGCGGAATAAATCGTTTAGGGTACATTTGGAAACCAAGTGTCTATTAGAAATTGTATCCACTTCCTCATTCCGGATTGGAATGTATCAACATTGATTCTTCTTTGTTATTTTTTGAATTTGATACCGTGTTTCTTTCTTTAGATGGTTAGCTTGCCCTGCTGCCGAAATGGTTGATGGTTCAAAGGTTTTGTATTTTGAACAGGTTAGCGACTAAGACAGTTGTGTATTTGTTTTACTTTCTCATTACTTGTTTATTCCAGTTCTTATTGCCAAGTTGCAATTTTGTAATTTGATTCCTTTCTTTACTGCAGGCATTTTGGAGAACTCCTCATAAACCATATCGCCAGGTTAACAGCAACCCTTCACTTTAGATATCCCAGTTTTGCTCATAAGATTCAACCTGTACTTTGTAATCAGATATCTAGCTTGTATGCCGCGTTGTTACCTTTCTCCATGCACTACATTGCGGCCCTGATTTTGCTTGCGTTTAATTCTTTTCTGTTTTCTTGGGCATGACTTACTTGCATGGCACTTTTAGCTCTGAATGGTTAAATTTTGTTTTCCAGTTTAATGTTACAGTTGTTTTCGATTACCCTGTTAAATCATTATTAGAATGCTTGTTGCAGAGATTTTACATGGTGAAGCCTTGTCCGAAGGAGATGAAATGTGATGTTGAGGTACTTCTAGCTTTCTTGTTCTCGTTACCTGCTGCATCGTTCACTGCTTAATATACTTGAAATTGGTGTTGCTTTGAACTTCAAGAAAAGTTAATGTTCTTTTGTTTGTTGAGTCGCGAGAGATGGAATGGTTATTTCGTGCATAGGTACTAGTATAATCTTTTGGAATATGGGAAGTGTTTGATCTTTCTTTTAATTTCTTTTTGGGTGGGGATAGGAGAAATGTGATATTAGCAGGTTGTTCGAGTATAACAATGCATTAGGTAAAGAACTTAACTAAACATTTGTCCTACCCCTTCCCGGTCAAAGTACTTTTGTTGTGTGTTGCAGATGTTGCTTGGTTTAGAATCACTTTGTTGGATGTCACAAATGCTGTATGCTATGAAAATCTCCTCATATGGTGTCAACATTTGGTTTATGCATCGATCTTATATATTTGATCTTGCGTAAGTTTAACTCTGGAAAAAGGAAAACAAAAAGGAGAAGACTGGAAGAGGTTTCGACTATATGATGGTATTTTGCTATCTTAGTTCTTCTAGGCCGTCAATATCAGGGTGATCATCTTCAATTTGTGAGAATTTTCATTTTTCAACCCTTCGCTCCACTTCAATATTTTACTGTCCCTAAATCCTGATTAGTGGGTAGCTACGTACACATGATAATAGTTCATTCTTATAGTTTTCCAATAGCAATATGATCATCTTCAATTTGCTGGGGATTTTTCAAAATTTCAACTCTTTGATCCATTTCAATATCCGTAAATCCTGCTTTATGGGTGTAGCTAAGTACGTATGCCATCAGAGATGCAGAGGAGTATAAGAACTTTTGTGATCGTCCAAAAGACCAGCGTCCGCAGCCTGAAGAAGTTATTGGGGTATGCCATTAAGGATCTTTCCTTTTGATTTTTCTGTTTCATGAGTTGTTTTCATTTAAATACTTTTGGTTAAAGTCTTTGAAGTTACAGGAAGAAAATCCTTGTAAATACAGCGATATAGATGACTTGATTTGGATTTACTTTCTCCTGTTTGTAACTTACAGTTTCTGAGTCTGTATTAGCGTTTATTCCATCTGAAAAGTGGTTTTCCACTTTGTGATTTATTATTCAGGACATTGCTGAGCATTTGACAACCATTCACTTAAAACGCTGTGATCGAGGGAAGCGCTGCTTATATGAAGGCTCGACTCCACCAGATGGATTCCCCAACACATGGGTATATCCGGCTTTTTCAGTGAATTGCTTCTTGTATTATTACATTTTATGCCCTAGCTTCGTTGGCTTGACTCTTTCAACTATATCAGAATGGGGCAGCATACTGTACATCAGAACTATCCGTCATGAAGAACAATGAAGTCCATACCTGGGATAGAGGTTACGATGAAGATGGAAACCAAGTTAGTATTTCCTTCTGTTCTTGATTTACCTTTTTTCACAGTATCTTATACTAATTACTACATGGAATTGAGCTTTCTTGCGAAAATATTTGAAAAATTATGGTGACAATTGTGTTTATTTTCCAATGGCTTTTCCTCTTCTTATGTGGCAATTTTACAGGTTTGGGGTGCAAAGGCAGGTCCATACGAGTTCAAACCAGCTCCTGCGTCTAGTTTTAATGATATATTCTCTCCCTTGAATTTCCCTCCTCAACCCCTTGACAAAAGGATACAAGGTTCATTTGTAATTCAGGAATGATCAAAAGGTGTAGATCCGTAAAAGTGTCAATTATATTTCAGGTTCATTCTATTCAAATCTCTCATATTTATCTTGGAGAATCTTATGTAAATTTTGTGTAAAGCTATAAAGTTTTCTTTATACCCAGTGTTGAATAGAATGTATCAGATATTCCAACAACTGACCACTAAGAAGATCCCAAAATTTTGTTACATTTTCATATCAGATCTTCGTGTAGTTGGAGCATCCCGAACGGGTGAAAAGAATATTTCATTGTTGAATCAAAGTTAGCATAAGATGAAACATAAACTGGACATTTTTTCCAAGAAAAATAGAACAAGAAAATATTATATGTGTTGTTCTAGAGCTGCATTTAAAAACATATCACAGGAAGTGTATGGAGGAGAAACTACAAAGAAAGCATTCTTGCCATGATTCCTAGCTTCTTTCAATCGAATAAAATCGAATCCATGACTTGTGGGATGTTGAAGTGGTAGTTTATCTAGCCTAATAGGTGCTGTTCAAGTAGAAGTATAGAGCAGCCAATGCGACAACTCCTACTGCAATCCCAATTGGCAATGCCTTTCCAACTGCTTCGTCCCTTTGAAGTTCAGCTTTCCTGGCTTTTCGAACATTCAAGTCATTAGCATCCTTTGTCACCTTAGGCTCGTATGGCTTAAATCTTCGTTTTGGGGCACCACAAACTGCAAGATTCATATAACAGTTTGTAAATGTTCTTATTTCGACCTGAGTAATCTGAACTATATTTTTCTGTTTTTTTGAGTTCATTTCATCAACCAAAATCTCCGCAAGAGATTTCGAACTTAACGCATACTAAGTGTCTCAGAGCTTTTATTTGATTTGAAAGTAATCTAGAACAGTTGACTATCAAATGAGACCAAAAACGAATGGTGAGAAGTGTAGGATTCAAATAGAGAAATTCAGATTGAGATTGTGAAGATCAATTTACCAGGACAGAAGTATTTGTCAGGTAGCTTCTCAAAGGGAGTTCTATCATTGTAAATATACCTGCACAAAACCACATAAATCTTAAGAGATTTACACCAAATTCATAGGCCCCCCAGAACAGAGAAAACGCCATAAATCCATAATGAATGATTAATAATCCAGTAAAGCAGAGAAAAAAGAATTAAGTTAGTTTACCCGCAATCCCGGCAGATGTAAGCTTGCTTGGAGGCAACCCGCATGGAGAATTTAGGAGCGGTAGCCACAGCAGCAGAAGGGGCGGTAGGGGGGCGCAAGAGATGAACAGAAGGGGAGAAGAAAGTTGACTTGAGTGCAAAACCATCGGAAGGTCGCCGGAGACCAGCATTGCCGCCGGTGGGAGCTAAAGAAGATGGGATCGCCTTGGTAATGGTGGGTGCCTGAAGTGCCATTTCGACTAAGTAATTCTTGTCCACCAAAGTAGTGGAAAAGAATAAGAAGAGATTGAGTTGATCAGGTAGTAGTGTATTGTGTAACTAATATGTGAGTGTGTGTGATTTGGCTATACGGCAAATGAGTCTAGAAACTATGGGTGAAGGTGAAGCGTGGCTGTCATGCTCCCCACACAAGCCCAAGTGACCCTTATTCTCTCACTTTTGGGTTTGGCTCTTTTGTTATCTTCTCCATTTTTTTATTTTTTCTACCCTTTTTCTTTAACACAAAAATACTCCCAATTTCATGGCTACAGCTCCCTCTGCCTCTGAATAAGTGTCACATTTTTTATATTGTTTTAGTTCAACAATCATAATTCACGGAAAAGTTAATACCACTTACGACAGGGTCGAATTGTTTTGTTGTTGCTGTGGTTACTATTTACGACGTCCTTTCAATTACTATCAACTGTTAAAGGGTTGGGCAATGCATACTGCAATGGTTTTCTGGCATTTGGCTTCAAAAAAAAATCAGATTACAAGTATATAAGGCATCGTAGATCATTCGAGGTCTACAACCCAACAACTAACAAAGAATCTAAGTTGCAAAACCAGTGTAATGAGATAGTGAACTTATCCACAAGATTCAGTGAAGTGCTAGTGCTATTACTCCGGCAAAACCTGCATTATCTACCAAGGTTTCAGGTCACCCACAGGGCCAGCAGTCCAGTTCAGGATCTTCTCACCAGGCTTCAAGAAAACGCTGCTGTCATGGGGCAACTTACGGGCGAGTCCGTTCAAAATTTGGTGGAAAGCGTCGCGGGATTGAGCTGGTTGTGGAAACAACATAGCCTGCTTCATTGAAGGATTTGCAAGCAATCTTTGTTTCCTCAGTATCACTTCCGTCGGGATTGAAGTGAGTATTGTATCCAGCTTAGGAACGTCTTTCTCAGCTACAAACACTCCAATATCTTCCCAAGGAATTGCATCGGCAAAGGGTAAAACAATGTCATCTGCTATGATGACAGGGATGCAACCAAATATAACTGCCTCAACCAATCTTGGACTCCATGGAGCCCATCCCAATGGACACAGGCAGAAAATAGCTCGTTGCATATCTTCATAGTAGGTAGTTGGATGCTCAGTAGAAATGTCAAAAAGAGGGTTGTCCTTGAAGTTCTCCCATACTGATGCTCGGGCACCTCTGCAGGATCAAAGAAGCATATTCAGGCATGTATTTCAGTCCAAATGAAAGTAAAAGTGAGTATTCCCAAATGAGCTATGTTCATATTAAATTTCATCCACATGCACAGAATCCTCAGCATGAATATACACTATCTTCTATAGTTTAGACTCCAATTTCCACTGATTCTAAACTAGCGAATTAACATTGGCTTGAAAGTCGAAACTACAAGCACATAGCATTCCAAAATAAAACTAGTCGGTGTTCCCAAATCATACCAGTAGTACTGAGTAAAAGAATTGCTCTGTACCTTGCATAGTAGCCACCTTCAGGGTCATTTCCTACATCATAGAACAACCCCCTGAAATAAACAAAAATGGAACGAGGGGTGTTGGGAGGAATCAAGTGGGCTTGCATCTTTTGTGGAGGAGCATATGGAGGTATTGTGATGGAGCCTTCCTTTAAGCAAACATGATTACGTTGCCCAAATGTCTGAACCAAGGTAGCTCGTTGAAGCAAATGGAGAATACCTCTTTCAATGGCTTTTTCCTCCTGCAATAGACATAAATAATCACCAGCATCAGAGAGTGGTTATCAATCAAAGGCATTGGGGAAAAAGGGAAATTGATATTTCTCTTCCTTTCACAGAATCACCCAGTAAAATTAGCATGCTTTTGGGACATAACAACACAATTCCCTCATGAATAGACCTTCTTCCTCTATCCAGGAGAGGGAAGAAAAGCTGCTAAAGAAGACAAAGAGGGGAACCAAGATCTCACCTGATAGTGGAAACAAGCACCAAAATCATGGGGCACAATAAAAAAGTGATCAGCGCCCTCAGTTCTATTCCAGTATGGCCAGTTAGATGAAATCAGCTGTATTGCACTCCTCATCATACGTGGTGATTTGAAGGGTAATGGGAGGCCATTAGGAGTAAGGTCACATGTTGTGTATACTGGCGTGTAAAACCAATCTGCTTCCTCAGGATTGAGGGTTCGAACAGGGCTTGATAATAGGAAACGATGCATATAGATCTCAGCAGCGAACATATGGGTGAGACATCGTGCATCCTTCTGCAGAACTTTCTTGTTGTATTTGCTGGGGAGCTCATAAACAAAAACTTTTAACCTTCCAACGGGGTCATCTTCCAACACATCACCAGCACTACCTAAAGTTTCAAAATGCAAGAATAATTAACAACCATCGATGAAGATTGGTCAAGGTTAACTCTTTCAACCCCTAAACCTTTGGCCAAGAAACTATTAACACTACGAGATGAAGTCTTCATTTAAGCTCCATAATTGCAAAATCCCACGAAGCAGGTCCCATTACAAGTAAAACAGAGTTGATGCAAGAAGTTAGAATTTGAAGCGAGTTGAGTCTCTTGAAGTGGTAAATTAGATTCCCAACAATTCTCATGCCCAAAGCTACATGCCAGGAAGAAAGAGTTGAGGACCGAATTCATTAATCATTAAGACAGAAACTAAAATTCTATCCTAAATCATCTACAGACTTGAATGATCAGGAAATGGCATCTTCAGCATCTTAATATGTTCTGGAACCTCTCATGACCTGAGAATAGAGAGCTGTTCGAAACTATAGATTATAGGCTTATCAGCAGCCCTGGTATGTAGCAGACATTGAAATCTTGAAAAGTAAGATAAGGATAACATTGTCCAGGGCACTGGGAGCTTAACGATTCCATATTGATGTGAATGGAACCTTCTTATCATTCTGTCATTGATCCTACTTTTCTAAACTTATTTGATAACTTTAAGAGAGAATGAAGACAATTAAAAGTGAATTACTTCCTCGATTTACTTTGATATCAACCTCTGCAAACTGAAAAGTGCCAACACAACTTCATGGATGCATTAGAAAGAATAATCATCCGTTCCTAAAACCACAGATCAGCACCACAATACTAATGGTGCAAAGAGAATGCACTTGAAGAATTTGCATCTTTCAGCCCAATATGTTTACTTGAAACTCAGAAACACCTTCATCCTAACCCTCTGGACATAGTTTTCCTATATAAATGTTGATTCGATTATCAACTCCTTCCCAACCCATTTTTCCTCCATAAACATATTTTTCAAGTACCATCCTCAAGGATGAGAATTCCAACAAATGGTTAATCCAACTCGCATCACAAATCACTTAACAGGATAGCAATAAATTTAGTAAAGCTAAATCCAAAAAAAAATGCAGGAAACAATCAATCTGAAGTTCAAGAATAAAGCCACGACGGAACACCCAGACAAATTAAGCAAATCGTCCCTAAAGAATCGTAAAAGAAAGGAATCCTGCAGCTACTTTTCCATATGTTCAAACAACAAAAATAAAAAGCCAGATAAATTATTTACCAGAAATTCTTTCAGTGTGTTCGTGTTGAGCTTTACTAAACTTCCAAGCTTCAATTCCATTTACCGACAGTATGAGAAACAGGATCCCAACAAAATCCCATCTCCAGCTCCTCATTTCCCCGTCTCCACAACTCAAATCTGCAACTCAAACAATCACTATAACAAACTGACCCAAAATCAGTTGTTCACAGCTTTATCGAACACATGTGCTCCCCCAAAACACCACCTCAAATACAGAGCAACGAGCATCAATCCACTTAATACCCGTATAGGATTGGTAGAAAAAAAGAAAGAAAATAGTTGAAATGTCACAAGACGAAGTTGTTGTTTACTTGCTGGAATAACTTTCCTTGCAAATTTGGTCTTTGACAATCCAACCCACAAATTAAAAAAATGAAAAATGAAATTCCTGCAATAATTTTTCAAGCAGCAGAAAGGGATTGATAGAGAAATGGGGGGATTTTCTTACGAGGAATTTGCTTCAAGAAACAGGGAAAGATTGGGCGGCTGATGAAGAGGGAAGAACAAAGGGAAGGAAGGAAAGGACACTGGTTTGGTCTAAAGTTGGTTGTCAATCAGCTGTTATAATATTCCTTCCCATTGGAAACCATTTTCAGCAATTTGGCAATTTTTGCAGTAATTGTAAACATTTATTTAATGTTTCATGGCCGACTTTTGAGATCTATCTAATGGAATTATTTGTTAATTAATTAAGTTTTTTAAAAAAAAAAAAATAAATTATAGTATTTGTTACTTTTGCATGTAATTAAATTAATTGTCTTGGTATCTAAATAAGGACCGATGAGAAGGGCTTTTCATTTGTTTTTGGTTTGATGACAAGTCCACCTCAGTTAGACTCTGTGGGATAAAAAATCCTAGTCAAGGTTGTCTGTTCCTTTATTTAGGTTGATTAATATTTAATGCCTTAATGGCACTCCTTTTGCACATTCTTATTCTTATTTTCTTATTTGGAAATGAATTTATAGTTTACCCATATATGAGTATATTGTGCATTAGTGATTTTTATTTTGGTTCTGTTAATACTACGTTTTGACTTGTGTTTTTTCCAAGGCAAAAGAGAAAAACAGAAAAAGAAGGACGAAATAGAGTTAAGAAAATGCTCTTATAAGGATTTTTGTGCTAACCTCCTATTTATAGGATACAATTAAATAGAATTTGAAAGAGCTCTTTGTAGTGATCTTGGTGGTGAAAATAAAAATATTTGTGCCATGTGCATTATAGAAATTCAGGTACATTTCAAGAATTATTTTCCTGTTAGGGGTACGAAAATGATCAATTTGGCATTCCTTCAAAGTCATTAAAAATGTGCGCATTTTAAAAGCTTGCTACTGTATATCCTTTTTTTTTTTTAGGAAATAATCCCTGCGTCCCATAATTATTGTCTAGTTTTACTAAAATGAAAGATTTTATTTTTTGTCAAACTTAACTATATTTTACCTTAAACAACCGGATATACCCCTACATAAGTAATTGTTTAACCATAAAGATTTTATGGATAATATTTTTTACTAAGGACAAATGTGTAACTTGATCCATAAAAAGTCAAATTGGACAATAATTTTGAGACAAAATTTTTTGGGCAAAGTAGACAATACTTATGGAACGGAGGGAGTAATAAAATTGGTCTTTATTTTCAACATGAGATTTTTATATCAACCCATAAATGACTATTTTTATTTGTTTTCTTCCTTTTTTTTTTCCCCAAATAAAATTGAGGGCAAGTAAGTAATGTAAAACTGCAACATTTCAGTTAACATGCACTACAAAGAGCCCACTTACTTAAGAGCCTTGAACAGTCCAATTTTTTTAGAACGATCAGCCCAAATGGAAAGTGAAAAGTGCTCCAGTTGGACCCATAAAAAATTCTAGAATTGTTTAGCGGAGTTAGCCCAAACCTTTGAGTTGGAGTTTCTTTTCAGTTTTTGTTTAGGCAATGCCCGTGAGGTTTTGGCGCAAATTGCAAACGGATGGCTTTTTCTGGAATATATTTTCTGGAAAGAGAGAGAAAAAAAAAGTGAGGGAGCAAATTAGCCCACTAAATTCTTAGAGGAGCCCATTTTATAACTATTTTGTCCTTTTTTATTATTGTGAATAAAAGACTCATCATTTTAACATTTTATAAGTTTTAAATTAAAAAAATAATGAAATTGGCATTAGCAGAATTATTATCAAACTCAATAATTATTAAAATTAACTTGTATAATTTTGTAGTAGTATATTTTACTTACTAACTAATAATTAGATAATCTTAAACAAACTAAATTAATTAATAAAATAAAAATAAATTAACTTTATCTAAATAAATAAATATTTAACTTGGCCTAAATTAACTTTACCTTAACCAAACAAATTATTCAATTAATTTGTATCACAAAAATTAACCAACAAAAAATTATTACACACTACATCAAGTAATAAAAAACGAATACAATTCGATGCATAAACAAAATAAATAATTACATAACATCTAATTTTTTTAAAAAAAATTAAGATAAAATAAATAATTAAATTAGATTTGAAAAAAAAAATTTTAAAATAGCGAAGGCCACGCTCTCACTACGCGAACGGCCGGCGACCGCGCCTACCAACCGTGAGCAGCCCGACGATGACCCGCGCACAGAGGGCGCGCGGCCAATGGGTTGCCCACGTTAACCAGGCGGGCGGCCAACGAGCGGCCGATTGGCCGCCCGCCCTCTCTGCGCGGGTCAACATCGGGCTGCCCGCGGCCGATAGGCGCGGTGCTGCCGGCCGTTAGCGCAGTGAAAGCGTGACCTCCGCTATGATTGGCCTTTACATCAACTTGACATCAAGAATGCCTTTTTGAATGGTGACCTACAGGAAGAGGTTTATATGGAGCAACCTCCTGGGTTTGTTGCTCAGGTGGAGTGTGGTCCTGTAGTATGTCGACTGCGGAAAGCTCTTTATGGCTTGAAACAGACTCCCTGTGCTTGGTTTGGTCGCTTTAGTGACCCTATGATTAAGTTTGGCATGTGTCGCTCTGTGAAAGATCAATCTGTATTCTATTGAATCTCATCAACTGGTAAGCGCATACTTCTTGTTGTATATGTTGATGACATCCTCATTACTGGTGATGATTTGCTAGGAATTGAATCCCTTCAGGAGTTTCTTTGGTCTCAGTTTTAGACAAAGGACTTAGGTTCTTTGAAGTATTTTCTAGACATAGAAGTTGCCCGTTCTCCTAAAGAGATCTTTATTTGTCAGAGGAAGTATACTCTTGATATTTTATCTGAGGCGGGCTTGTTGGGGTCACGCCCTTGTGACACTCAAATGGATCCAAACTCCAAGCTATTACCATATGAGGGGGAGTTATTTCCTGATCCTAGTCGATATAGACGCACTGTTGGGAAACTCAATTACTTGACCATAATATGTCTAGACATTGCCTTTGCGGTAAGTGTTGTCAGTCAGTTTCTTGAGTCTCCTAGAGTGCCTCATTGGTATGTAGTCATTTGCATTCTTTGATATCTTAAGAATGCTACAAGTAGAGGTATTTTGTATCGAAATCATGGTCACAATGAAGTCTTTGGTTTCTGTGATGCTGATTGGGCTGGTTCGTCTATTAATAGACGTTCTACATTAGGATATTGTGTGTTTCTTGGGGGCAATCTTATCTCTTGGAAGAGTAAGAAGCAAAGTGTTGTTGCCTACTCTAGTACAGAAGCAGAGTATCATGCTATGACTCTCCTCACATGTGAGCTGCTATGGTTGAAACATATACTCACCGAGATTAGTAAACGCGTATATACTCCCATGAGACTCGTCTGTGACAATCAAGCAGCTCTGCACATATCATCTAATCCAGTTTTTCATGAACGGACTAAGCATATTGAGATAGATTGTCATTTTGTTCGGGAAAAACTTGTAACTAAGAAAATCGTTACTTCATTTGTAGGATCAAATTATTAGCTAGCTGACATTTTTAAGAAGTCTTTACGTGGTCCTAGAATTAATTATATTTGTAACAAGTTGAGCACCTATGATATATATGCACTAACTTGAGGGGGTGTTAGAATATATAAGTATATAGAAAGGTAGTTTGGTAAAGTTAAGAGGTCATATTTATATATTATGTAGATATGTAAAGTCCAGTTACTATTGACCTTAATGAATTACATTCACCTTATCATTTAAGATCAACGAAAAAAGAAAAAGGAAATGTTGGACCAACTAGTCACATCAAATAATAAGATTCATCACATGAAGTAACAAACCAAAATGGAGTGAAGAAAATCATGGATTTGGCCATTAATCTGGAGACTCGCTCTGAATAATTCGAATGCATAGTTTCCAATTAACTAATCATTAATAATACTATCTACCCACGGTTCTAGAACTGCCCGTTACGGTTCTAGAACCAGCAGTTTTGGTTTGATAAAAATAAGAACCGGAACCGCCCCTGTATACTATGGTTCTGGTTACAGTTTGAGAGTCATCGGTTTCAGTTTAGTTACGGTTCTGTTATGGTTTTGATTTTGATTCAACGTTATTGGTCACAATAAATCAATTTTTTTTTTGTTAAATAAATCTTTGTTTAATTTTTTTTGAAAAGTAAAATGGAATGTGGGATAAGAAATTTATTTATTTTTATATTTGAAAAATAGGACGATACTTTGCATATATACCTCAAATTTTAACTATATGAAAAATAATAATACATTGTGCGCAAAAGTTACTCAAATCAGCAAATCATCTTTACAAACATTATCTATATATATATATATATATATATATATATATAAAGATAGTTTGTGTCATATTTGGAAAAATAACTATGCATCAATTTAACTAGTTATTGAACTACCGGTTTACTTTTTTTACTTTTTAAACAACGATAAAATAATTATGTTGACATATTTTCTATTTTTTAAGTTATAAAAAATACCAAAATGACCAGCAATTGAATTGCTAATTTTTACTGTTCAGAATCACCGATTCACGATTTCAAATGTAATATAACCTCCGAACCACTAACACAAAGTTTGGTTACAATTCTAAAACCTTTAAAGACAGTTCAAGACTAGAACCTTATTTTTTTGTTTAATTTCGATTTGGTTCAGATTCGAACCAGAACCTTGGGCATGCCTAGGCCACAAGCTGTGAGATCAATACGTCACAAGATGGGTTGTTTTGTTCCAGTGTTGTTGATGTTGTGTCAGCCATGAAACTCAATCTATTACAACAAATCCAGGATTTAGAAAAACAGCCTTTTTTTTTCCAGCTACAATTGAACCTCAAAAGGATGTCTTCAAATTATTTACTCATTGTCTAAACAAATAGTTCATCTTGAATTTTGAAATTTGATCTATTTTTAACACTACGTATAAATTTATAAACTCAATATAGATTATTATTAATAGAGAAGTAATATCATATATTGGAGTTAGTTAAATTTGGATTAATAATTGATTTTCAAACACATGAATCACCTCGTGTCTGTAGTAAATACATGAACATTCAACATACTCAAAAGTCAAAACTAATAGGTCGCGTGTAAAATTTCTCAAGATCTTATAAGTTTCATCATGCTAACAAACACAAAATGAAACAGTAAACTCTAACAGTTTGTAAAATTTAATTAATTCCGAATGAGTTGGCATGCATGGAGATAATAAGAAAGAGGTCTCTAAAATTACTAACTCTCAAGATGGTGAAAAAAGCAAAGAGTAGGGGGTTAGTCGATGAAAGTCATTTAAGTTCGGGCTACTATCCAACCAATCCACAGAACAAACAGCATGGGTAAAATTGCTAAAATAGAAGGCAACAATTTTCATTGCGTAATAGTACGTACAGCCGTACACGGCCTCCTTTTTCTTGCAACTCCATTATGCAAAATAATGTCACAGAGAGCTGACCAATAGAAACCATCATCAATTCATCATCATCTTGTGGATTCAGATGTATTTAATGGCTGCTGAAGTAGTTGCCAGATTTTAATGGCACGTGACACTAGCTATCTTATTTACTCAATCAGAGGATAAACTTGCTAGTAGTAATTTAAAGAAGAAAGTTTTAACCAGAAAAAAAAAAAAAATTAAAGAAGAAAGTAAAAAGGTGTTGTTTGTTTCGTTTTTTTAGTGCGTGTTTTAAGTGTTTTTTATATTGAGAATGTAAAAAAATGTATTGAAAATGTAAAAAAATATGGTAGAATAGAACAGTTAATAATAATTTAACATCAAGGAAACAAACAAAGTTACATGTCCAAATGAAACTAATGAAGAAAGTTTTAGCATGCCTGAGATCAATACTAATGACTATTAGATCTTAGTATTCTAGTAAGTCCAGTTATTAGAATAATTTGAGAAATAATTGTGAAACAAAAAAAAAAAAAAATTGTTGTATTCATACAGTGATCTTGTTGAATTACTAATCTAGAGTCATGAATTTGGTAATTAAAGAACAAACAATTGACCTGTTAAAGTTTGATCATCCCCAGGCCAGACTTTGAATTCCAAGAGAAATAATCAAAGTAATGCAGCCCACCATTTGAATAGTTGATCACATCCTCTTGAATTTTGCTATGTCAAAGCAGTAACAATAATATTACAGTATTATTTTCTCTAATTCCTGTATATCAATCAGTTCAAAAATATGCCAACTAGCTCTTCCCTGTTGATGTGTACCACCTACCAAGTAGTAATGGCATATCGTACACGTACGTGCGATATAAATTTATCAAAATAAAGCCTAATGCATTTTAAATAAGAAATCCGCTAATCATATGAAATTATTCAATTAATTGAACGTAGATAACACATAATAATAAGTAGAAAATAACTAGTCCAATTGTCTCGACAAAGAGGTGATCTTTTCTTTCTTCTTTTCTTTTTTCCTGGTAGTTCCTGCTGAGTTTTGAGACCCTGTACAATTCATTATGTCTATCATACCCCTGAGTTTTGTTTTGATTTACCTTTGTTTTGTTAGTGTTGATTACCGAAATCATGAAATATTGTAATAAGCGGACAAACGTCACAATTGAACTAATTATTTTATGATATGGGGAAGTGACCAATTTCCAATACCGTCCACAATTCATTCAAGCCTGTTTTGGCAGGTTTACATCACACACAGTCACACAGTGGCCAGTTTATAGCTCATCTTTCCTCCCAAATGCCCACATTAAATAGACAATGACAATTCCAGTGATTCACTACAAGTAGGCACCAAGTTTTTGAACGTGTCGGACTTGGGTCGCCTTTCGCCGTCTTACTATTTGTACAAAATTTTCTATAAATACATAATATATATATATATATATATATATATACATCTAATAATTTTTCTATTTGCCCTCGAAAATTGGAAAACCATAATATTGTTCTTAAGAGAATGGAGAAAGAGAAAGCCGAGCCGGTGCCGGAAGCGGAAAATGATAACACTCCTTGTCCGCCGGCGGAAGAAAAAGAAGAAGAAAAGATCAAAGTTCGACTCTTGAGAACCGTAGTTGAGAACCAAGATCCTTCTTGCAAGGTTCCTTCATTCATTTTCCCTCTCTCTTGAATGTCTTTATTTTTCTTTAAAAAAGAAAATTGCGCTTAGATTTATTTACACTTAAATCAACCCTTTCTTTTCAAGATTTCATATCATTGAGAAAGAGTTAATAATTTTGATCGAATCATTTAGAATTATTATTCTTTCGTAGTTCGGGATCATGGACCAGAACAACCTTGTTGAAATGAGAAGTTGTAGCTCAAGATCGATATAAAAAAAGAAAGGCTTTGACAAATGGTTTTGTTTACCACAAAACACACGCACACACACATCAAACAGTTATTGGACCGCTTGTGAAACTCATTAATTACCATTTTGTTTTTTTTTTTTTTTTTGTGAGTTGAAATATGAGTAAATTTTGATGTCATCGTCCGCTAGAAAATACATTGATTCATTAATTCTCGTATTTAATTTTGATTTTTTGTTTCTTTTGATTTGGAAGGGGCTGGATGATTTAGCAATCAGGAGGTTCCTTCGAGCTCGTGATCTGGACGTAGACAAAGCAGCTTCGATGCTACTGAAATATCTTAAATGGAGGCAAACATTTGTACCGAATGGTCAAATTTCGCCATCTGATGTCCCAAATGAAATTGCACAAAACAAGATGTTTGCGCAAGGATTTGATAAACAAGGACGCCCCATATCTGTTACCTTGGGGGCTAGACATTTCATCAACAAAAAAGGAGGTGTTCACGAGTTTAAACGTAAGTTCACACACCTTATTCTCCTTACCTATTTATATCACACTTTTTCCCCCCTTGCTAATAAGAACAGTGTTAATCAAATCTGACTGTTCAGACAAAAAAAAAAAAAAAAACTTCTTAATTTTGACCGGATATATATTGGGTACGTTGTTGTTGTACTCCCCCCGTCCCATAATTTTTTGTTCAGTTGGAATTTTCACTTTTAGTTCAATTTGTGCTAAAAATAAAAAATTAAAATGGACAATAATTTTGAGACGGAGGTAGTAAAAATTTTCTCCCATCATATAATCTCTTTTTGGACGACAAACAAATATAATTCATTATAAAATATAGTACAAATTACAGACTTTAGAATGGCCTTGGCCATGCCCATTTTCTACTATTATCCTATCTACCTTCTCGTTAACCCATCAATTTTTCACTTCTTTACAAATTTTAGGTTTTATTGTTTTTGGTCTGGACAAATTATGCGCAAGGTACGTTTTATCTAGCTACTACTCTAATACTTAAGGCTAATTATTGTTGAAAATATTATAAAAGTGGTGCACCAAATTTCAATTTATTGTATAACAGAACGCCAGCTGGGCAGGAGAAATTTGTGATAATTGGGGACCTTCAAGGATGGGGCTATGCCAACATTGACATTCGAGCTTATATGGGAGCTTTATCTATCTAGCAGGTTAATTTTATTTATTAACTTCTTCCACAAAATAATACTATCTCCGTCACAAAATAGTTATTTTATTAATAAATCCTAAAAATATGATAGTTTAACAATTTTAGGAAATGTCAATTGGTCACTCTTTACGGTTAGTGTAATTGATTTTTTTGGAGAAGTAGATTTAAACTTGATAGAATTGGTTGACTTGGTTATGTAGTCGCCTTATGAACATTATGCAAATAAGAGCTCTCAAGTTACAAAACCTTCAAAAGAATATAAAATGTTACTCCATCTGTCTTTATTACAAGACATTTTGATTTGTTCTAAGTTTTATTTAGTATGTTCTTTTAATTGAAAATATTACCTTAAAACTATTACAATTGGAAGAACACAATAAATATAAATTATATTTTTAAAATTTTAAAAAGAACACACTAAATAAAATTTTTGACAAATCAAAATATTTTATGATAAGGACCTCAGCAAGTACTATTAGTTGAAAAATGAAAGTCAAATCAGTAGTTTGGAGTTAGTAGTTAGTAATAGGTGGATTCAACTCACATAAAAGCAACCTTCAAAACGAAATTGCCCGTTGGGGTTAATTATTTTTTTGAAAGAATTTTACAACATAATAATGACCTTTTATATATGGAAATAATTAGCTTCTTTAGAAAGAAAAAAAAAGTGCACAAATTGATATTCCTTTCATTCCGAAATGATTATTTGTTTTGAATTTTTATTTTAATCAAATAATACTACAAGTAAAAATCCAAACATGACAAAATAGTAAGTTACTTGCCTTTTTTTCCCTAATTACTTCCGACTATGTTTGTTACCTAAAATTGTAATATGATAAACATTTTTTTTTTTTTTTGACGAATGGACTAGCAATGGAAGAAATTTGGGGAGAAAGGTTTTTAGTACAAATTGGAGAAGTGTTTTCATTGTGTGTGTGTGTGTGTGTGTGTTTAATGTAATTAGTGTTACTTGTGATGGGAGGATCGAATATGGTTCGTACCACGAATGTATACATAATCTCAATGATTTCGTATGTTTTTTATTTTACTAACTAAAAACACACCAAAATAGACCTCAATCCCTTCGTCTAGCCGTAGGATCAGCAAAGTCAACACGGCATTGCATCAGCATAAGTGCATAACAACCAAAATACAGTCCATGTCTCAATATAATTGACATATTAATGTATATAGTACTATTTCCAATACAATAAATCAGACAATTATTTTGAGACAAAGAAATAATTTAGACGAGGAATAAGTTTTTTCCAAATTCTTTTTTGGGCGTTTTGTCTTGTGTGATTGCGTTTATTTTACCTCTGAAAACTGAAAACAATTAATCGGAAAATTTGCAGGATTATTACCCAGAAAGACTGGGGAAGCTATTCCTTGTTCACGTGCCTTCAATTTTCATGACAGCTTGGAAGATAGTATACCCTTTCATTGACTGCAATACTAAGAAGAAGGTGAATATTGATCAAAGCTGCCTTGCCTTGATTTTTATTCGCACAATGACATAAAAACTGACTCATTTTAGTGTTGTAGTACTTTGATTAAATACTTTTTCAACCCATGAGCAGTTATAATTTCCTGCAAGTTTGAATTACTTTTTGATTATTTTCTGTTTCCTCTTCATTTGTTGATTTTGCGTAGATTATATTTGTGGAGAACAAGCGATTGAAAGAGACACTTCTTGAAGATATTGAAGAGAGTCAACTTCCTGAGATCTATGGTGGCAAATTGCCCCTAATCCCAATTCAAGATGCTTAATTACATAAATCATATTTCTCAAGGCTATACATATATATATATATATATATATTTTCTAGTAACCTAATTAAGTTCGTTGTGTAATACTTAATTTATTCTTGCAACACAATGTGGGAGTAGGGTTATTAATTATGATCCTCTCTAGTCTCACTCAAACTTATACTACTTCTCTGATTCGCATTTTAATTTGTGCGGGATCTCAAAAGTAAAAATTAAAAACAATTTCTTGTTCTAATCATACAAGATTTTCTCACCTTCCTCTTCTCGTAATGGTTATTTCGAGAGTTTTGACACAGTTGACTTCCAACAGTGTCGATGAGTTTGACCGTCAACGGTGCTCCCAGACCACCCTCTTGAAATAGCAAATATTTAGCTACATAAAAATGTAGTACTACTAGTAAAACTACGAAATTATTCTTCAAAAAGCACCCCTTATCTCTTGAATCTGGGAATTAAAAAATAACATGCATATTAGAATTAAATATATCATGAGTCTCTTCAATCTGGGAAAAGTAATTCTCTATTTAAATTAGAATATCAACTAATAATTCGTGTAAAAAAATGATATGGAAGTCAACTATTCTTTTCATTCATTTCAAGCTAAGAGAGAGATGGAGCTTTTAATTAAGTTTTGTATACAAATAAACCAAGAAATCAGGGATTTGTTTCGTTTTATTATTACTCTTTCCGTCTCATAATTATTGTCCACTTTGGGTTTTCATTGTAGTTCAAATTGTACTAAAAGTGAAATCTCAAGCTAGACAATAATTATGAGATAGAGGGAATATTTATTTATTTATTTATTTATTTTGAGTATAATATAAGGATGTGATTTTGACCGATCTCCGAAATTCCCAAAAAAAAAAAAAAAAAAAATCCTTCAAGTCTGTCTCCGAACATGACTTGGTATGCCAACCTTAGCTCATCTTCTCTTCCTTTCAAATTCACACAATGAAATATATAAAATGAGAAAAATCCACAAACTAGCAGCGGTGGCACCAGAGGAAGAGAGAGAGATCAAAAATGGAGAAAAGGAAAGATGAGTTGGTGAGAGAAGAAGCTGAACAAGAACATAATCATATTCATCTTGATGATCATCCACTGAAAGGAAATGGATTTGATGAGATGATCAAGGATCCAGCTGAAAAGAAGAAAGTTCAACTCGCAAGATCCATAGTTGAACACCAGCACTCTTCTTGCAAGGTTTTTTTTTTTTTTTCTTTTTTTTTCTTTTTTTTCCCCTTCATTAATCTTCATCTTTTAATTATCTTTGTTCTTCAATCTCAGATTCTTGATGTCAGATTAATTCTTCACAAAATTTCTTAGAATATTGTATTGAAAGTCCTTGATCTAGTGTATTAAAATTTATTTGTTTTAATTTTTTTTCTTTTTTTTTTTTTTTTTGGTTTATAGGAGATAGATGATTTGACAATAAGGAGGTTCCTTCGGGCACGGGACTTAGACGTAGAGAAAGGGGCTTCGATGCTACTGAAATATCTTAAATGGAGGCAAAAATTTGTCCCAAATGGTCATTTTTCACCGTCTGAAGTTCCAAATGAAATCGCACAAAACAAGAGTTTTCTGCAAGGCGTTGATAAGCAAGGTCGCCCCATAAACGTTGTCCTAGGTGCCAAACATTTTCCCAACAAAAAGCAGGGAGGCCTCGACGAGTTTAAGCGTAAGTTAGAAACATAGTATTGTAGTTGTTGTTTCTATGTATGACATAAAAGATATGCAGTATGATTCTTGAAATCTCATTATGTATTTAAGCTAATGGTTCCACAAATATTTATGATTTTTCAGGTTTTACCGTTTTCGCTCTGGACAAAATTTGTGCCAGGTATACTATATAAATTGATGAAAATGGTATATGATACATATAGTCGATCCCATTATGCAGTGTAATAAAAGTTCATTACAGTTTATTCTCAGTATATAGCACTATGTTAAAAAGCAGAAAAAAGAGAGGACCATAACTCATTTAGGTTAAATTTTATGGACTGATTTTATTTGAGAACCTATATATATATATATATATATATATATATACATTTTACAGGATGCAACCAGGGCAGGAGAAATTTTTAGTAATTGCCGACCTTCAAGGTTGGGGGTATGCAAACAGTGACATTCGAGGTTCGGTTGGATCTTTAGCCATCTTGCAGGTCAACTTTCTTTTATCAAATTTAAAATTTTACTTCTCCATTTTACCTGTCACAACTTTACAAATCATCATGCGTTAGTTAATGATTTTTTTTTAACTTAACATCTATTATCTTAAACCTACTTGATATTTAACTTGCATCTATTACATCTTAAACGCTACTTGATAAAATTATGTCGTTGATCTACCGTTCATCTACCAAAAAGAAAAAAAGAGAGAGATGTATAGTCCCAACTGGTGATTTTGACCTATAACAGAAATTGTTATTACTAGACTATCTATATATATGGTCAAAAAGGACAAGTTGCCCAATTGGAATAATGAAACTAACTAGCTGCGCAATGTTGAACAGTGTAATGACAATGAATAATTGAAGTTTTCCGGGGCCCTGAAATATAAAGGTTGGTTTCACATGTCAAATTGCAGGATTTCTACCCAGAAAGACTCGGAAAACTGTTCTTAGTTCATGTGCCATATGTTTTCATGACGGCATGGAAGATTATCTATCCATTTATCGACAACGAAACCAAGAAGAAGGTGCAAATTTCTACGCAAAATGACAATAATTGACTTCAACTCCCATTTATTAAATTAGTTATTAATGCCACACTGTTTTGTTGTCAAGTTTGAATCACGTGTTTTTGATTGATTTCTTACCATTTTTCTGATTTGAACAGATTGTATTTGTTGAGAACAAGCGGTTGAAGGCGACTCTTCTGGAAGATATTGATGAGAGTCAACTCCCTGAAGTTTATGGGGGCAAATTGCCCTTAGTTCCGATTCATGATGCTTAATTAATTATCCCAAATCCTCCCCCCACAAAATAATAAAGTTATATACATCAATTGTCATTGTCCTTTTTCCCCTTGCTCCAGGGTTTTCTTTTTGGTATTAATTGTTGTATGGTGATAGGGAAAGAAAAATGGCGTCTTCCTTTTTCTTTTCGTGATATATTTGTCATTGAGAAAGAGGAATGGCTTTTTCTATTTACTTATAGTTATTTTCCATGGTTAATTTAATCACTTAAATGTAAGTTGTAAATGATATAATTTCCGCTATGTATCCTATTTTGTCTTCCCATTCCTTACTTTTAAAGTTTAATAATTACAAAGTAATAATGGTTAAAAACACTGATGTGTTATCGAGACTGATTTTTCAATCATACCTTAAACTTTACAATTTTAGAAAAAGATGAACTAAAATTGAAAATTTAAAAGTATGAATAGTGGTATTCTCTTTCCTTAGGCTAGAAAATGTCAAACATCAAAAGACAATTGATCAAGAGATTCAATAGATTTGTTACTATACGAGAATCCACCTCAGATAAATAATTTTGAGTTAACTATATCTTTCAAGAGAATAATTTTTACACTGATATATTAGTTAAAACGGTTTTAAATTCAGATGAAGAACTCTTGTTATGTATAATAGAGTATCTAGTAACATTATAAATTAGTAGAAGTAGATGCAAATAGCTTCTCTTTTGTTGGTTAAACTCGGCTAATCGGCTTTATCGAGTTGTTGTAAACCAAAAAAAATAGAGGTTCGGGACTAAAAATAATGGTTTTCCTATTCTACTGCCTTCTACTTGTGCTCAAATGTCTCGAAGTCCACTTGGATCATGGTTCATTCATTTGTAGGACCAATACTCAAAATAAAGAGTGGCCCAAATGGTTTATTTGTATGACGAGAAGATCCAAATGTAAGCGGATTAGAGATGATTACTCCAGCTACATGGTCCAACTGAAATTAAGTCGCATAATTGGCAGGTCTTTTTCCTTCTTTATCTCTCTTTTTCTAATTTTCCTCCCCTCATTTCCTCCTAGGCTCTGAAAATAATAATACCGTATTATAAGGCATTTTAATTTGTCTTAAATTTCACTTAATATATACTTTCGATTAAAAAAAACTTCAAAAATATATTTACTGATTCATTGCGTTCTCCTAATTATTAAAAAATATTTTAAAGATTTTTTTCAATAAAAAACATATGACAAATCAAAATGTCTTATAATAAGGACCGGAAAAAGTATTATTTTGTGGGCTGGTGTTAGATCTACTGTAGTAACATAAGCACATGGTGAATTGAGGCTCAATCAAAATAATGCATTATGTTAGAGATGAGAATGAGATGTGATAATTTCGTTTTTGTAGTATAGATAGTCCATACAAACCAATGCAATCGTATGAAACGTAACAAATAATTTTTAACCATATCTATTTAGATAATGTATGATCAATAACCCTATAAAACATTCTTTTCTATAATATTGATAACAAATATATCTTGATATGAATAGAAAAAAAAATGTTGACAGAGTAATATGATAAAGTGATAAAGTGATGAGAAAAATGATAAAGTGAGCCAAGTAATATTTTGAATGAAAATACATCATGTTCTTTTCTTCTTTTTTTTTTTTTTTGGATAGAAAATACATCATGTTCCGGGTGCAATATGGTGATTTTAATGTTTCAGAATTATCATGCTTTTTTTTTCTGCCTCCATAATCACCAAGGAACAAAAAATGACTCACAATTACGAAATAATTCTTCAAAAAGCAAAAGCAAAAAAGAATGACAAAAAGAACAATCTCTAATATATATACTCCACATAAAGTAACAAAAACCCAAAGACAAAACGATTAAGGGGAAAAAAAAAAATCCATGAGAAAGATCTGTGAACAGTGTAGAGAGAAGTCAGCAATGAGAAAAACAGGACTATAGTTTCAAGTTTATTACTTCTCCTTTTTCTTTTTTCTTTTTTTTTTCTTTTGGGGGAATAAAGCCAAAAAAAAAAGCAGTATAACGCCAAAAGAGAAAACCAAAAGATTTTTTTTATATAAATATCAAAAATGAGAAAAGTGGAAAAGAGAAAACTCTGAAGTTCCCAGAGAAGATTAGATTGATGATGATAATACATAGTCACATATGATGCCAATACTATGCCAGCCCAGATGCTGCACCAGCCCGGCAGCACAGCCGTCAGCAGTGGCCAGCGGCTAAAGTCTGTCTGGTTTTCCGGCCGTGCAACCGAGCTGCTGGAGGAAATGACTCAATTAACATAGGACAAAAAACATTTAACGCCTTCCCACTAGCTTTTTCTGTACGTGTCAAACTTGTATTGGCTGCTTTAAATCTTTTTGATTCTACCAAGTCTTCTTTGAAAGCAGTTTCTCATCAGTTGACCAAAAGAAAAGCCTGACTATCTAATATCACATCACTCATCATACCAAGGACAACGATACCTTCAATTGCCTCTCACTTCCCTTGTGCTCTTTCTGCATCTATGCAGCAGTATTCTCCTTAATTATTCTCTTTATTATTATTTTTTCCCTACTCTCTAAGCTCCTACACATAATCAAATTCGCATGTGCTATGTATATTTGTGTATTATAGGATGAGTTTTTTTGTTACAAATAAAAAATAAACAATCTACGTTGATTCAACCAAGTAGAGTACTGTCCCAAAATTATTGTTTAGTTTCGATTTATACTTTTAGTACAATTTGTATTAAAAATAAACATCCAAACTGGCCAATTATTTTGGGACAGCGGGAGAGAGTATTTCATAGAAAGAATAAAGTAATAAAACGTTCATGACAAAGGTAGAATTTTCCGGGTGGATATGTGTGTGTTTGTGTCATTTTTCTTGCTAGAAGCCAATCTCGAGGGTATCATTCTTTTGCATCCTCTAGTAAGTACTCAGTCGTTTTCTTTGTAATAGTAGAAGTAACTATTACGAAAGAAGATGTGATGATGAAGCAAAGGAATATACATATACAACATGGTAATAAGTAAAAAACGATGCAGATAATTCACACCATTATTACATTGTCTTTTTGTTTGAATTGCAGTGCTCTCATGCATTGCCACGTGACTACCGAAGCATGGTTTTGATTGGGCTGATGGTTTGCAGGGAGATATCATTCCAAATTGTTCAGTATATGTGTACCATCACCGAGTTCTTTTCTTTTTTTTTTTGTTTTAAAAAGACATGTTAATGGTGTGTGACTGTGTGTGTGTGTGTGTGTGTTTTCAATGCATATATATATATATGGAGCACAGTATAGTACTAGCACCATGGGAGAAGTGAACAGATAATTAGCTGTAGCATGGATGAGGATGGATGGATGGACAGGTCTCCATCAAAGGAAACCAACCCAAGATGAAAATGCAGGGCTTTTTCTTCCTTTCTTTGTTTTTTACTTGTTTTGTTTGTTTCTACAGAGATTTCACGATTAATCGGAGAGAGAGAGAGGGAGAAAGAGTTCTTCATATTGAATAAAATTGTAAGTACGAAAAGAAAATGGCCTTTTACAATCTCCCTCATTTGACACAGCTAGCGAACAGAGTCGTTAATTGGGCTGAATAGTGAGTGAATACATATCTCTGACGCACCCTTTGCTCTCGTATTTGGTCTGCTTCTACTTTTTGCCAAAAGCTTACTAAATTACTACTTGGATTTGATGAAACATTTGTCTTGTGTTTCCTTCCCTTACCCAAGATCAAATATCAGGATCTATTTAGGATAGTGTTCGAAATCATTACTCTTGTTAATTCATATTGATCAGATCTTTTTTGAAAGTAAAGTTCTCACAATATATGTACTATAATCCACATTGTGACTAATGCATGAGCATACATATGATAGGTGCTTTTTTTTAAAAAAAATAAAATTCGTAATATTAGTCTTGCATTTGCGTTACCAAAATGAACTCTTCTAGGTAAATTATTATTATTTTTATTTTTATTTGTATAGGTCAAATGAGATCCTAAAAAAGCTTCATGAGATAAATTTTGAGCCCTAGCTATAGATATCTATCAACATCTAGAAAAACGAATCCACGACCCTATTAAGATATGGTTCCCACTTCCCAACTAGTACTAGTATTCGCTCATCCATTGCCCTGATTTGGTCATCTACTCGGGCCATTACTAAATGAACCCAACTGATGTAGCTACCAGAAAGAGAAAAAATAAATAAATAAATAAAGGAAGGAAGGAAGATTATTAGCAAAATCTAGTTGTTGTTCCCACCTTCTTTTTTGTTTTTGGGTTTTTGGTTCAGCTAAATTGGGGAATTCGGCTAAGGACGGAAGAGACATGGGGCTTCAGATTCATTGAGGAAACAGAACGACAAAGCGCAGGAAAAAAAAAAAAAGTAGTATCAGTTTGACAGTTTGTGATATGCGCAATACAACATTATATACATGATTTTCTGTGTTAATAATTAAAAAGTTAGCTTAGATTAAATTGAACCTGTTGAGGCTGAAGTCTGATAAATTATGTGCAGTAAAACAACAAAATAAAGTTCCTTCTGTTACAAACGAAAAAACTTTATTAATCGTTTTTGCTACGCGTATGTTTGAATCGTTTTTTTAATCTATGTTTTTGAGCAAATTACATTTTGTGGGTAGATAAAAATTAACCAATAACGTTACGTTTTAGGTTTCAGTCAAAGTACAGCTTATTAGGGCAATATTAAAAGTTGCTACATAATTCGCTTGCAAAATAAGGGTGAATTTTAAACTCACCAAAGAACAAAGGGAAACTAAAAAAAAAAAAAAACATTCTAAGTTGGATCCGAACAAAATAGGTACGTGTTCCCTCCCGAAAGGGCATCATCCAGGGAGCTTACACAGCAGTCAAAGCCCTGCATTCTTGTCTGTCTGTATCCAACAACAGCAAAAGTAGATTGCACATTCCCATTCAGTTATACTGTTATATCAATCAAAACAGGGGCATTTCCGGAATCCCACACCCTACAGTTTTTTGTTCTCTTCTCTCTCTTTTTAAATACTACTAGGAAAAGCTAGATAGATCATTGCTAGATATATAGCAATGGAATGAACAAACACCCCAACCAACATTCACACAGTTCACACATCTCGTCAACCCACCGCTGTGTGTGTGCGTGTTTTATTTTTTTGGTTTTATCTTTCTTTTTTTTTTTAACAAACATAATGGACCCTGATGCTTTCACGTTGGCGAGCTTGTTCAAATGGGATCCAAGGAGTTCCCTGCCACCACCACCACCAAACCGGCTAGTACTCGAAAGCGCGGTGGCGACGGTGCCTCCGCCGCCGGCAGTTTTCCCAGTCCGGCAGAGAGAAGTTGTTGTTGGGCTTGGTGGGCTGGAGGATTTGTTTCAAGCCTACGGAATAAGATATTACACGGCGGCCAAGATTGCTGAACTGGGTTTTACTATGAGCACGCTTTTGCACATGAAAGACGAAGAGCTTGATGACATGATGAACAGCCTTTCCCAGATTTTCCGGTGGGATTTACTCGTCGGTGAGAGATATGGAATCAAGGCCGCTGTCAGAGCCGAGAGGCGTCGCATCGAGGAGGAGGATTCACGGCGGCGCCTCCTCCTCTCCGGTGGTGCTAACACCCTTGATGCACACTCCCAAGAAGGTTCATAATATTATCTTACTATCATTTACTCAAATGTTTGGATGGTTTCTTGTATTTTAATTTTCTGGTTCATTTTGAAACTTTAATTATTTTCTTTTTACTTCAGAAGAATATCAACTTCATGCATGATGCATGAAAACATTTTCTAGATTACACTATTGTGTAAATTTATTTTATTTTTTGAACCCTAATGAAGTTTTTTCATACATATAATCTTGTAGCTGGTGATATACTACAAGTTAATTAATTTTTTTGTGTCTAATTTTTTTTTTTTAAATTGGGTGAAAATGAAAAATGGAAGTAGGGTTGTCTGAGGAACCAGTGCAGCAAGAGAAGGAAGCAATGGGGAGTGGAAGTGGTGCTGCGGGGACATGGGAGATGGGAAGGAAGAAGCAAAGGAGGAGGAAAAAGGGGAGGACGACGTCGGCCGGAAAAATGATATCATTGGAGGAGGATGATGATGATAGTGACGGAGGTGGTGGTGGCGCGGAGGAAGATGAAAACGTGATCGGTGGCGGAAGTGAGAGGCAGAGAGAGCACCCGTTCATTGTGACGGAGCCAGGGGAGGTGGCGCGTGGGAAGAAAAATGGGTTGGATTATTTGTTCCATCTGTATGAGCAATGTAGGGATTTCTTGATCCAAGTTCAGAATATTGCTAAAGAAAGAGGTGAAAAGTGTCCTACTAAGGTCAGTCTCTCTCCCTTCTTAATAATTAGGTTTGATTACTACAGATTAATAAAATTTTGTAACATGTCATTAAGTACAAAATGTAAGATAAAATGATGTCACCTCTCCATTTTGTTTCCAGTTATCAAAATCGACTAAGAACTCTGCTTTTTATCGTGCATTTTTGGTTTTCTGTAGTTGTTTTTTTTTAAAAAAAAAAATTCTTCCTATTTTCTTGTTTTTTCCTATGAAGTTTTGAGGTGGGGCTTCATTTGCAGCGTAAAGTTTAAAGGGATGGATTCAACCTTCTGAATTATGTCAATTTCAAGTGGATTAGGCTTGAGAGGGAAAATTGACAACTCAATGGGTGCCTAGGATGTGTTAGTTCAGGCTAATCATGGGTCTACTGCCAGGCCCTATGTGTTTATTTGGATTTTGTGACGGTGGTCCGATAAGCATAGCACCTGGGTGTTATGGTCTTGTAGATTCTCAAATGAGTCAGATCATAGATACGGCAGAAACCAGAAATGTCTTTCTAATGTCGGAAAATTTGCTTTTTTATAAAAAAAAAAGAAAAGAAAAATTCTTGCAGATTGGTAATTGATTAGCTGTTGGATATTGTGCTACTTAAAATTACAGGTGACCAATCAGGTCTTCAGGTATGCGAAAAAGGCCGGTGCAAGCTACATTAACAAGCCGAAAATGCGACATTACGTGCATTGCTACGCATTGCACTGCCTGGATGAGGATTCCTCCAATGCATTGCGAAGAGCTTTCAAGGAGCGAGGCGAAAATGTGGGAGCGTGGAGGATGGCTTGTTACAAGCCTCTCGTGGCGATTGCATCCCGCCAGGGATGGGATATCGACGCCATCTTTAACGCGCATCCACGCCTCTCCATCTGGTATGTTCCCACCAAGCTCCGGCAACTTTGCCACGCTGAACGGAGTAATGCTGCTGCAGCTGGTGGTGCTTCTAGCTCTGTTACTGGTGTTAGTGGTCGTGCTGTAGTTCAGCAGCTACCATTCTAGTTTACAGTATATGTTTTATCTGGTTTGTTTGTCCTTAAGCATTAAACATTTGATCTAAGAAGGTTAAACAAGGTGGAGCTTTACTTTGTTCTAATAGCTAACAAACGATGCTGTTGTGCAAACTGCAAAGGATCCGCTCGAGAGTTGAGAGTAACAATATATGCTTTCCAATATTTAGCAATCAAATTAGTTCCCCAAATTCAAAAGCATAATATAGTAATAGGCTATGATCCAAATTTCATCCTTTGCTCCATGTGTTCTTAGGCGGCTCATGAGAGTGCTTTACTGCAGCACATTTAGGCGTGCTTGAATTTGTAAGTTGAGCTTATATTGTTAAACTAAGTAAAACTTACAACAGCCCAATCAGTCAACTTGACAATTACAAAATAGCTTACAAGCAAAGATGTCCAAAAAACAAGGTTACAAAAATTATACATCGGAAAGGTGTCTAATGAGGAGATCTTCAATGTCTGGCTGAACTTTAATACTCTGTATAAGGGAACTCTGTAACCACACATTGCAGATCAGGCTGTATGAGTGGGATACTTCCACAATACATCACCCCAGGTGCTGAGGCCCTCCGTAACTTCTTTAATTACTGTCGCGACTTCATCCACATTAACACGAATCTGTTGCTTGCTATCCCTCTCCCTCACTGTCACTGATGTTGTTGAATCAACTGTAATAGCAAAAGGAACACCAAGTTCATCGGTCCTTGCATACCGCTTGCCTATTGATGTGCCTGCAACAAAAGATAAACTATTATGAGACCAAGACCTAGCAATTGCAGTTACAAACACCAGTTAACCATAACTCCAGAACGTGCTCTAATATAAAGAAGTTAGGCAACAAAAGAAATGCATATGTGATCATTAGTTGAAATAGTATACCTGTAATATCAATCTTATGTGAGATCCCAGCAGCAGTAAGTGATCTAGCAATCTGTTTTGCAACATCTTCATACTGTTGGTTCTGAACCAACGGAAACACAGTGCACTTTATTGGCGCAACCAGTGGGGGAAAGCGGAAGACATTCAGTTGTTCATCGCCATCTCTGCTAGGTCTAGTATAGAAAGAATGCTCATAAAGACAATATATAATCCTTCCAATGCCAAAGGAAGGTTCAATCACCGACGGTGTGAAAACCTTCTGGTGTTCTTTCTTTGTCTCTTTGGAGATTGTAACCATGTTACTCTTGATCGTAACCACCTTATCAAGAGTGCAAACCTTAAACTCTGCTTCTCCCTTGGACTCCAAGGTCGCTTTTAGCTCCAGAGCTTCTTTTTCATCCATGGACTATAAAGAACAGAATCAAAGTAAGCATCTTCGTAAGGCATCTCAGCATCTTCGTAAGGCATCTAAGTTTATACTACGGCTTGCAAAAACGGTTGAGGTGTATAATACTAGGTTAAATATAATTCTTGAATGTGAATAGAATTTAGAGGAAGTCACTCCCCGCGTAACGAAAACCCTGACCAAGTTTAGAGTTACTATTCTTCACATGAGAAATTCAATCCCAAATCAAGTATCTCAAAAGTGTTAGAGAAGAGGGAAAGAAAAAGGACACTTGCAAAAGAATCAATGCTATTTTACAGTATGAGGAAAGCACACCTCTAGAGCTTCAACAATCATCCTTTGGTTACCCTTGAAAGCAAGACCAAGTTCTTTCTTCACTGGAGCTATCACAAGTTTCTGTAAGAAAATCAAGCCGGATAATCTTAAAATGGTTATAAAGAAAGAGGAAAAGAAATAGTAAGCAAATAAGAGAAAAACATATGTACCTCCACTTCTATAGGTTCTGGAAGCTTTTCGTGTGCAACAAGGGCCACACCACTTTTATCCTGTCAATAATGACAACTTATCAGCTTCGGAATTGATTCTGAACTTATAAGACAGATAAGGTTGGACTGTATAGAAGTACTAAGTGGAAAAACTATATAGAAAATCCTGGCCAGTACACCAAATCAAAACCAAGGAGATGACACTTGATGATAATCTAAGAAGCTCCAAATTTAAATTCATTAATCCCTAGACAACTTTACTAGGAACAGAAAAGACATACATCCGAGTCTCTCTGACATATGGAGAAAATCATCTCAATCTGAGCAATAGTAACACTTAACTTTTCAACAAAATATAATTGAATTCTCACCGTATGAGCACGCAAGTCATAGGCTGATCTATCAGCAATGCCAACACATTCTATCCACCCAAAAGAGCATTCAATCTCTGCATCCCAACAATCAGCAGCATAGTGCGCCATTTCATTTGCCAGATGTTGGCGGAACCTTAACCGATCTCTATCAATACCAAGGTTTGTCAAGAAGAGATACACTCTCCCAATAAAATACCCAAGCGTTTCATTGTTAACAATGCCCTGGCAATATACCGAAATGCAAATATAGTAAAATAAATGCATGTTTTAAAATCGCATTTTCATTTATCCATCCAGAATTTGATATCCAAGCATATCGAAAAAGACGGAAGGTATATTAGTTAGTTGTTTCTAGAACAAACCTGAGCGACAGCTTGGCCAATGGGTATTTTCCTGGCTGATTCTCCCGACACCTGGTCTTCCCTGGGGAACATTAAAAACTCCAAATTTGCGACTTCAGTAAATTTTGGATGAGACTTGTCCTCAGGATCCACAAAATGCTCTATTTCAGCCAATGTAAATTCGCGAACTCTTAGAAGCCCTTGGCGCGGAGAAATCTGCATTATTAAGGTTAATCACGAACCATTCAATTAACGTAAGAGAATAATGGATTACTTAAAAGTCCATATCCTCAACATAGGTTCTGAAAAGTAACTCTGATCTGTAATATTTCAACTCATTATCAACACAGAAATATATATCGCATTTATATACAAATATAACTAAGGATTGCGTCTAAGACTAAACACATTATGATTCTCTACTTGTTTCTATCAAGGGAACACCAAGAATTATGATCAAGACAACTGTGACTTTTGAACGCTGAACAATCACTAACATTCACAAGTGTTGCCAGGGTGTCATCTATAACCAACATATGCTCTGAGCTCCATAACAGAAAATGTGTGACGTCATGCTGAGTCTAAGAGAAACCTCTAAAATGCAAATACAAAACTCTCCTAATTATTATGCTGCCAGAGATCAGTAAAGAAATGATAAATATCAGATTTTCCAAGATGAACACTTCAGAGAAAGTGAGAATCGGGATGGAGAATATTCACTGGACAATAAATAGATATGAATTACTCAGAAAAAGCTGACGTGGAGAAGCAAGAATTTAAAAGGATAAATTTGGCAGCTCGACTTGTTAAACAAAGTTTTATAATTTCTGATCAAGCTTGCTATATCCTTAAAATTTGAGTTCAAAAAGTTTACTGAAACGTCCAAAGGGCTACATTCCACTGCAGAGGCTTTGTTAAACTATGTGCCCAAGACAAAGTCACGAGTCATATACAAGGCAAAATTAACAAACAATACTACAGCAAAGCTACCCACCTCATTCCTGAAAGCTTGCCCTATTTGTGCAGCGGCAAAAGGTAGCTTGCTCCCATTGTAATAGTATAAATCTTTGAAGTTCACAAATATACCTTGAGCAGTCTCAGGGCGCATATAACTGCAGCATGATTTTTTCCCGAAAAGCAGTTATTAGGCAAGTCAAATTAACAACAATGCCAACTGACAAAAAAAAAGTTACTAAATTAAGTTAAATAATGAAAATGTATCTCCTGTAAGTCTTATTACAAAATTTAATAGGCATACATTTTACATTTCATAGGTTGAAAGATGTCTTACCCCGGAAGTGTACCAGATGGACCAATGGAGGTCTGGAACATTAGATTGAAAGGGTAGGGATCAGAAAGAGGATTCTTGGTGTCGGGAGCAGTAATTGCATACTCCTTGAGTTTTGCACCAAGCTCTTCAGCAGAAAGGTCATCCAACACAGCAAGAACATGCCTCAACTCAGCTTGTTTTTTCGGATCAAGATTAGGCTCTCTCTCAAGCTTGTCTTTGCAAAAATCCTTGAGCAAATGATCAGCTCTGAAGCAATTCCCAGTCTTCTCATCTTTCACCATAAGATCAGTGAACTTATCCACATGACCGGAAGCCTTCAGCACTACCTCTGGCGTCACACATGGGCAATCCACTTCCAACATATTCTCCTCCAACACAAAATGCTGTAATTAACAGAGAGAAACACGAAATACCAAAGTCAAAAATCGCAACTCTGCATCAAATTCAATGAATTCCATTCGCTAGAATTCGGTAGAAAACAGAACATTAACATCCCAATTCAACTGAATTCTCATCTGGGTCATCTCGAATTCGGCACACCAAATAGATCAACCAAAGATTGAGCAACTATTCCGATAAACAAAATTGACAGAATCCAAAATTAGGAAAAAAAGTTTAGCTCACCTGACGCCAATAAGCGAGGACATTTGACTTGACGGCACAACCAGGTGGGCCATAATCGTAAAGACCGGCGACGCCACGGTAGATCTTGAAAGAAGGGATATAAAAGAGTCGCCTCTCGAGTGTGTTCACCACGGCCTGCCGGAACGCCTCCCTGTTTAGGGCTTCGCTCATGTTATCTGATTCTTTCTGTCCAGAAGATATTCTCCTCTGCTTTTCTGGGTGATGATATGACCAAAGAAATCTACGCAGATTGGGGATTTGTGGTAGGGTAATAGGGTTCCAACTTCCAACTTGAGTTAAGGAGCTGGACTTCGCGGATATTTTGTTAACGCGAAGAAAATAAGTCAACATCTTTTGACATTTTCCTTTTTTATTCTTGTGAGACAGATCGGATTTATCATTTTCATTTTATCTATGTATCACAAGCAGCATAATATCTATCATGTATTATAATGGACTCCACTTAAATCTGGTAAAACACCCTTATAACTCAGGGTAGAAATCGGGGTAGAAATCGAAACATGGTTTATTATCAGGAAGGACAACAACTTAACCACTAGGCTGTCGTATTTAATTTCCATCCACAGTAGATTTTCCATCAGTGTCTCAAATAATAATTTTATTTATTTTTTCTTTTAAGTAAAATGAAAAAAACCAAAATCTATATCTATAGTACTTTAATTAAAGCAGCAAACAAAAAGGTCATGTGTCAATACCACAATGAAAATTTTCCCGCCAAAAGTCATTTTCAGTACAAAATCATTTTTGACACGTGGCACTCTAACTAATCAGAAAAAAAAGATAAAATATATAAATACATAAATCCCTTAATTATAGCTACATAAAAATATCTTAATTATAGGTATATACTAATCGTTTAAAACAATAATATTTAGTTGATAAAATCAAATACTAGGAAATCCCCTTAAATCAATTAAAACACCAATAATGTCTTCCCAATCCCCAATTTCAAAGAATCTCTTCCATTCCGCTCTTCTCTCACACTCGGGCCTTTAAATCAATTACTTAAAATCTGACATCAATTATCAATCCATCTCTTTCTACAACATAGAAAAAATAAGCTGTCTGAAAGAAATTTGATTTTTTAAGGATAATTTTTTTTTTTATTCTTCTGTTGTAGATATTGGTTTATGATTTATGTAAACCGGGGCATAAGTTAACTGTTATAAATCTGTGCATAGATTTATGTGTAATAGTTCACTTTCCGTCCTTTCAATCGATTTTTTATTCTTCTAATTTTTTTTTATTCTTTTAAGAATGGTTCGTATTTTTTATTTAATCAATTTAAAAATACAGGCGATACCCCGGGCATTCGTCCGGGGCAAGCATCTAGTATCCTATTAAAACAATAGTCTAAGAGAAAAAGGCTGATGTGTTGCGCTCTCATGCATCTGTTTCTCGCCCAACAAAAACTATGTAGTTTTGTGAAAAAAAAATTAATTTTTATAATCTTTAATTGTGTTAACTTTCCTTGTCCTTAATTATAATTAATCAATTAATTAATAGAATAAGACATTAATGATATAAATAAATGATTTTTTTATTATCTTCAAAATTTAAAAGATAACAAATTGAGTTAATGAAAAACACTTTTACTATTTGTATATACTAATGTTAAATCCGCACGATGTGTGGGATTTATTCATATACATTTATATTAAAAAAAATCTAAGTTTAAATGCGCTAAATACGAATGAATTGGTTAGCATGTAATAACAAATACTATATGAGCAAAAGTAAATTAAAAGTTATCCAAAAAAATGGAAAAAAAAAAATCTATGCGCTATTATATATATTGCAATGGAAGAATGTTACCATGCAAATATATTATGCCTCTATTAAAAAAATATATAATTCCGCCAACATAATTAATTAAAATATTGCATGCCATACATAATGGATTTATTTTATATCCAGAAAAAAAAATATAATAGTAATAAGATGCAAACAATAAAGAGAATTGCAATTAAAATATTATTTTATTTAATCCATATTTACTATTTTTATTAATTTTATTGATGATTAATACATGGATTTTCTGAGTTAAAGAAAAATATTAAGTATAATTGATCATATCAATCAAGCATTTGGCCTGGGGTAATAAATACATATTCCATTTATTTCTTAATATCGCTATCACAACTCACGGTATGTATGGCCTAAGTAAATTGATATATTGTTTCTTTATGGATTTTTGGCCGTTTAAAGTGGCTTCTTTCTGGATTTATTCTGCCCAGATAAATGAATTTCAATAGTGGAAGGATGTTTAGCTGGACAAATTCATATATTATTTAAGAACACTAAATCGATATGTTGTTATACCAAAAATAGTTTTTACAACCTACATATTTATAAAAGAAAATGAATGAAAGAGATTGGCAAGTGGACATGAATCCCTCTTTTAAACCTTACATTATTTTATCACTTAAAAGTATTATCTCTTACTATAACTTAAACTCTGGACTCTGGAGCAGATTCTCCATTGCGTCAGGCAAAGTGTCCAACAAAGCCTACAAAAGTATCATTTTTCAAACAAACTTAAAATTTCATACACGTTTAATTTTGCTACTGTCCTCATTAGTTTTACTCTCCTTTTTTCATACGAAATCCAAGTTTTATCATGCGATCAATTTAATTTCAATTTATTACCACCAACATGAAAAGGCACGTAGTATCCAAAAAGTGATCCGCCATCCATAAATAAAAAATGAATAATAAAGTATCCTAAAAAGGGAGAATGGGCATTTTCATCCCAAGGTTTGAGCCACACTATCTAAAACATCCCAAAGTTTAAAAGCATGTCATTTTCATCCCAAATTTTTCAAAAATATGTAATATTAGGACATTTGTTAATTTTTTCAAGTTATTAACGGCGATATTTCATTCAGTTTCTTTTCCTCCATTTTTTTAGTCAAAAAAGTTTCATGCTTGCGTCTGGTAAATTTGGTCCATGCCAAGCAAAAAAGTTGCAGGTCCCTGCATCAATTACAACACTAATTTTTATAATGATGTTACATATTTAAAATATAAATGAAATAGGGCTTACTTTCTAATTAGGACACACACAAAACCTCTTATGATTGTTATCAATCTAGAAGGTGAATCTTGGATTTTTTTTTTCTTTTTCTAAGTAAGGGAAGAATGGATGATGTGAAAACCAAATTAGGTTTAGCTATTTTCTTATAAGGTAGGAGTTAGCGGAACGTGTTAAATGATTAAAAGAATTGGGGGAGGAGAAACAGAACAAAGTACCACCACTAATTAATTAACTGGAATTAAAAATTTAACGAATACCTTAATGTAACATGTTTTTAAAAAGTTTGGGATGTAAATGGTATGTTCTTAAACTTTGGGATGTTTTGGATGATGTGGGCCAAATTTTGAGATGAAAAGATCTATTTTCCCATCCTAAAAAATATGAAGTACTTGATATGTGGTAAGAAAACAATTTACAACACTAATTGATATTTTGGATAGGTTCATTTCTCCCTCTTGTTTCTTATTTGTCTTGAAAAACAGGAAAATACATCAGAATAATTTAGCATAAACCAAAAACCTACTGAAGAAAATAGAGTTAGTGAGAGTTTATAAATTCTCATAATTCATGCATAAAAACGTTAGTGCAGAAGAAATAGTAAGGCCACCAAATTAACACTCACGATCACAATCACAAATTGAGTTCAATCAAATAGCCTGAATTTGATTAGTAAGAAAGAACAACCAAATTGAAAGCAAGAAGACTAATCATTAAACAATGATCATAAAAGAAAATTCAGTCATAGTAGATCTAATTATTATTAGGTTTACGATTTGAGAGTTTCAACCGAAGGTTAGTGTTGTATCCTTGATGGGATTAAAAATCTGGTACGTGGTACAGCTATTATTTTATGTGGTAGATCAGTATAGGTTTATCCATATAGCGAAACACAACAATAATATTGTGACTATTTATAAGTTATATTTTTATGGCTGTATCTTATTTTTATCAATCGTTGCTAGACGATTTCTAGCAAATTAATGAATTTATTTTTATTTCTCAAAAAAAATAAAAAATCTAAAAACTACTAAATCGAAAAGGCAATAGACATATAATAAAAGTACAAAAGATTAACATTTATTACTTGATATATTCACCATCATTACTTTCAAATTTCCCGATACAAATCTCTCTGATCATCTTCAACAGTGTTTGATTATCGGCATGAATTTTCTTATCAAACAATTAACAACACAGGAGAGCAAAACTAAATCACTTACCAATCTTATACTAATATAGTATCATCATTGTGTCAGCCTTTTTCGGAAAGATTACAGTTTCGCGTAGAATGACATGCTGCTAATCTTTTTGACCTGAAATGTAACGGAAAAAGAGAGAAAAAATATATATAATTAGTTTCAATGACCTTTCGAAAAAAATGATTCATGTAGGCAATCGTCTATCAGAGAAAAAGAAAAACTAATGATGTATATATACTTGTTAAGATTTGACTCGGTAAATGCCTCAATATTTTCAAGCTTTTTTTTTTCGAAATTTGAATTAAATTGATTATAAAAAGATAAATTTTTTTAATACGTTTGGAAATAGAATATTTTTCGAGATTGATTTGTTTCGATAATAAAAGGCCTAAATCATCTCTTACGAGTTACGACATTGTGTTATTTTATTTTCAAATTTCAAAATAAAATCGTGTTACTTAATGACCAAATTTGATTTGAATTGATTCAATTTTAAATGATAATTATTGTTTTCCTTTTCCAAATCCGTTTATGCTTATCACTATTATCAGATATGAATATATCTTGTGGTTTTAAATTTTAATTAATTAAATTGTGATGACTTTTTTAATAATTACACAAAGTTTTTTTTTTCCCAATTCATAAAAAAATTCTTTTAGAAATCTTTTTTAGTTTTTCTCTCCGATTTCTCTCTTAGTATAATAATATAGATAGATACTTTTATTAATGAATTTTTCTTTGGGCGCGGATGATTTATTTATTAATGAGCATATCACACATTTGTGAATTTGGGGATTATTTTGGGAAATATTTTTTTTTATTGTTTTGGAGTCAACTTTTGGGACGGATTATTTATTTTTAATGAGCATATCACACACTGATTTTGGAATAAAGATTTTTTTTTCTTTTTTTGGAATTGTTTCTGAGTTCGCGAGGTAAAAGAATTCGAGTGCATCAATACTGATTAATCTCAGTTACACAGGTGTAATCAAGGGGATTGTTTTGGAGAAAATACTTGACAAACATTAATGTTGATTACTCTCCCCATTAATTATTATTGATTATTTTAGGGTAAGAATACTATTTTTTTTTTAAAAAAATTGTTTTGTAGTTGACCGGATAAAAGTTTCAAATTAATACTCATTACTCTCGATCATTAAAGTTGATCGATTCATATCGGTTTAATTTTCCTATTTTCTCATTTTGAATTTAAGTTTTAAATACGGTTGGATAAATATTTAATTACATGAAATTCGAAGGACTGTTAATATAATTGCGTAAAATATTTTTTGAGGAATATATTAGAAAAATGACACATAGAATTTTATACTATGTGACACCTTTAGAAATTTTTTTTACTTTCTCTCTCTGGTTTCTCTATAAGTATAATAATAAATATATATATTATAAACAATTTTAAAATATAATATTGTAAATGGGTCGGACAACACCATAACAAACACCTAGTTTAACTTTAAAATAACTGTAGATAGAAATATTAATGTCATGTTCCAATCAGGGATCTATTCCGGATACTATCCCGGATCTATTTGCTCTTTTGAAAGAGATTGATCGAATATATACATCCTATAATAAATTACGTAATTTTTAAAGGTAAGTGATTTCATAAATTTCTCTTCGTATCAACATAATTACACTATTCATTAATACTATAACCAAACGAAATCTCTTCTACTGGTGATCGTACCTTCTTTCAAAAATATCTTTAAAATTTTTTCGAAAACCATTTGTTTTCCCCTTTGTCATGGAGAAACCTACTGGCGGTGTTTGATAAGTGTCACACATTGAAAAATAATAATAAAAAAAACTCCAAAAGAAAACTCCTATAAATAAATTAAACACAAAAGTACAAGCGATATTATTTAAAATTACACGCAACTGACATATGTAACATATCTCCAAGAGATATGTAACATATGTATGTTTATTTATACAGGAAGATGAAAGTACAGTAGAACTTCTATAAATTAATAATGTTGGGATCAACAAAATTTATTAATTTAGCCAATTATTAAATAATTGATAAATTAATAAATTATTAATTTAAAGAATTTGCATGAGAAGAAAACAACCGTCATTAAATTACTTAATTTGTAGTTGTCTTTACATCCGAATCAATCAAGTATTAAAATTATTCTGAACACTAAAAATACATACATAGTTCATATTATTTTTAGGGATAAAAAGCAAGTACTAATAGTTCATATTTTATTAAATATTTATAGTAATAATTATTATTTTTGTTGTTAGGGCATTTATTAATTTATAGTATTATTGGGACCCATAGATATATAGGAAATTTTTTGAAACATTATTATCTTATCATTTTATCGATTTTTTCCATTTTTAGTACTGGACCCAAGTTGAGACTGGAAAAAATTATTAATTGTTAGAAATTATTAATTTATAGATTATTAATTTACCGACGTTTTACTATAAACTGTAATTAAAATACGATTTTATTGTTGTTTCCCAATCACATAAGGTTTTAATCTCTGGACAGCTTTGTTTGTTTTCTTTTTTAGTTGGTTTTTTCAGAATTATATAATAATAACCGTCCCATCCTATCATACCTTTTTACATTTTCAATACACTTTTTTACATTCTCAATACAAAAAATACCTAAAAACACGCACTAAAAAAAAGAAACAAACATAAACTTACACATTTCTCACCCTATATATATAAAAAAACCCCATAAACATAATGTTAATACTTACATTATCAGTTATACTGAGTTAGTGTTATACTCGTTCCATAATGGTTACATTGTAACTAATGTTTACAAGGGAACAATTTAAACATTTTTTTTTGAAGAACAACAATTTAAACATTAATTTGTCGCCAAAAAGTAACAAATTAGTGCTTATTAAAAGAACTCAATTCAATCCAATCTGAATGGGGAAATTTTGCGTTTACGAGTTGCAGCCATTAAACTGGCGTTGCCGTTAATTCCACACCCACAGACCAGAGTCGCTACTTTCGGTGTTCCTTTCTATCGGATATTTCAGTTACCTCCGGACGTCGAAGCTCAGACGTCGTGTTATTTATATATTAAATCGAGGTTCTGCTGTGGATCATTACCCCCCAGAACAAACATGCATCAATCATATGCCACCATCGCCGCTGATCATCGGCCGAGGCGCTCACAATGTTCTTTTCAAGCCAGAAGAACAGTGTATCACTCCCCGACCGCCAATGATATTCTCCGATCGAAGGTTTCACGAATTTCTTCTCGGCATGAACAGCTCAAAACCGCCTACAGTCAGCTAAAATCTCAGATCATTACCGGTTTGCTCGAAGTATTTCTTTCTGCTTCCTTTTTAAAATTTGAATTAAATACATCTTTTTCTGGCAATCTTTGCCTAATTTTGCTGCTTTGAGACGGTTTTCCGACTGAAATCTGATGTTTCTTACTAGGCGGAGGAAGTGTTTGCCTCTTTGGCGATTCCGCTGGTGAAGCTCGTCGGATTGAAGACTGTTGAGATGTCAGAGGAAGGAAGATTCTCTTCCATAATAATCAACAATCGTGACAGCTCTCATCCAATTTACAGGGTACTTTATTTCAATTCCTTTTTAATATGCTCACACAAGCAATTCATCAAATATCCTGAGAACTTGTGCTTCATATTCGTGAAAGAGATATAACGGTGCTGAGTTTCGTCACAGGATTTCCAATGGAACGGAGATGAATGTGAGGAAGGATCTGGGAGCTCAGGGTTGGCAATTATGAGACCAAACAGTCACCAAAGGACTAGTGAATTTGAGGTGATGTATATTTTCCTTTTATTTCATTCTTTGCTGAAGGTAGGTATTGAAAATTTCATGATTAAAAATATGGATTTAGGTTTGTTCAGAATGATAGTTTGTTGTTAGGTCTCTGGAATGTAATGTATACTGTCCTTTACGTGGAGAGATATTGTGTTACCCTAAGCATAGATAGTTTGGCATTGCTTACCCTATCCAATTTGACTAGGATCACGTATTTGGGGGTGATGGCCGGTATAAATAAAGCCATGTGGTAAGAATCAGAAAACATTATGTAGTCCAGTAATCTAATGTCACATTCGGTTAAATCTTATAGAAGAATAGTTAAGTTAAATGAAATTATGGAGGGTATCATGATGTTCAAATTAGTGAATTCAAATAGTTTGTGTACTACTTATTAGATTAATACTTATAGTTAATGACATACAATGGGAGGCAAAATTTGTGAATAAAATTATCTGCTAATTTGTCCTGTCTATCTTGGCTATTTGGATGGCAGGGACCATGACTGGAATGTATTTTCTCTGTGGTTGGGTACTCATCATAAAATGAGAATCCCATTGTTTCTCTATGTTTAAATGGTCTGATTGAAGTCATTGTTTGTCTTAGGATCTAAATTTCACATCCAGAGCCACTAAAGTGTGCAAGGAGTTAATGCATAAACAAAAGCTGCAGCTAATGCAATTAGTGCAACTTCTTAAACAAATTGAGATCCAAGTTAATTCCAGCAAAAACGACATCCTGCAGACCCTTGCTGATAATCGGCAATCTCTTAAGAGATTATATCAGAAAGTTGTGACTTACATTTATGAGAATCACATATCACATGAGAGTAATGGCATGTCACCTGACACAGTAAAGCTTCTCAAATTCACATTTGAGCATTTTGGTTCTGCCCTTGGCTCAGTGGAGATCGGAGTAGAAACTTTGATCAGTAATCTAGCTTCTAAGATGTGCCATCCAATGGTTAATTATGTCAACTGCCAAAAGTCTGAATTAGTTGCTGGGACATGCCAAAGTTTGCTGGCCATGTTGGAAGAGATAGAAACAGCGATACGGATCCGGAGCCAAGAGTTGGAGGTTGCAAAAAAGAAGGTGAAGGCAGTTGAAGAGAGTAGACTCATTGCTCTCACAAAGCTGAAGCAATCAGAAGCAAAGTTAAAAGAAATGACTGAGCGACAGACTTTCATCAGAGAAAGCCGCACCCATTCAAAGGGACTTCCTGCCCCTGAGAAGGTATGGTTTAGTTCTGCTTTGCATCTCAGTGAATGCAAAGTTTCAATAATATATTTATTGCATATAGTGACCCTGTTCTGTCATTCTTACTAAAAGAATGTGCACTGAAAATTCTCATTGACTATTAAGATTTTATGGTTCAAAATTTCTAGTGCTCTGAAAGATTCCAGTGAAGTACATCCTTCTCAGGCACTGATACATTTTTTCAAAAACATATTAGCGAAAGTGAAGTTATTATGTGTACCATCAGATGTCAAATTATGCTTGATATAGTTTGGTGGCATATTTTCAAACTTATCTTCATATCTGTAACTATGACTTGCTTGTTTTGTTACCATTTCTTCATTTTAGATTTGAGCATCTTTATTTAGAGTAGAGGACTCAACACTCTCAATTTTATTAAATTCACCAGTTTCATTCCTCTTTAATTGGCACCATTCCTTCTTTTCCTTTCTTCCCTAGGATAGAAAACATCTGCTTTCTTGATTGCAATCAAGTCTTTATTCTAAGCCATGGCTACTATTGATATATATATATATTTTTTTGGTAAATAATTTTTTGTGCATACAGTGTATAACTGTTGCAGCCTACAATTACTCTGACTCAAAGATATTATTCTCTGTGAAGCTTTCACTCGAGGAAGCAGATTCAACCATGGATGAGACTTTATTGTGGGAGCTACTGAGAAACAAAAGGAAGCTGCAGGGACCGAATAGTCCATTTGGAGTGATAGATCTTGTAGGGGCGGGAACCAATTCAAAAAACCTTAGGTCCTCAAGGATTATGCCTCCAAGAAAGTACCAGCCAACTTCAGGAAACAACTCTGCGGCACTTAGTCCAACAACTCCAAGAATGGAGTTCCGGATACCATTAGGTTCTTCTCCTTCAGCTGTAATTTCTCAAGTTGTGCCTCGCAAGCGTAGCAGACGATAAACCATGCCTTGGATCAAAAGGTAATCTCCATCTGTGAATATAGATTGCTTGGTGGATGCAGCATGTACCTCTGCTCATTTACAACAACGATTAATTTTGCTTGAAATCGAATCAAGCTCTAAAGGCTGTCGCCTTCATGTATTTTGAGGCAACTGGACGAATACTATATTGATTCAAATTTGGTCCCTCAATTTTTCGCATGTTTCCTTTTTCTTTTTCTTCTTATTTTTTTTTAATCTTTGTTCAATTCTCTTTTCTCCTATTTTATCACGAACTCCATATCTGTATCAAGCTCGAAAGTAGTTGCTGTTGCATAATTTGAGGCAAAAATAAGGCATTAGTCTAATTCAAATTTTGTTCCTTCAATTTTGAAAGTCCTCACTTTGAAGGTTTCGATTTGCCTAAGCATAAGCTATTTAACTGTTTTAATTAACTGGTTTGAGATGGTGATTTATCAGGAGAAAAAAAGAAAAGAAAGATTTAGTGAAATCAATTTTAAATCAAAATGTGGAAACGTGTTCAACAAAGATTTAGAAAGCCGCTTCCTTTTATTAGAAAGCCTTTTAAAGTTTCTTGCAACTCGTTTGACCTTTGGACTCTCTAGTTCCCGCAAGTTGAACTGAGGGTATTCTGGAATCTGGATTATGTAATTGTAGTCTGGAGATGGATGATTTCATTTTGACTCTAAAAAACAAGGAAATGTGTTGTAAACGCCAGTTAACCATGAGCCGGAAATTATATCATAGTAAAAATTACAAAGGTCACATCACGCAGCTTATGAAAACAAATTTCTGGAACACATGAATGCCTTAGCAGCCAACACGTTTTCATGTGATCCAAAAGCTTCCATTCACAGACTCCATAAATGAGAAATGATGATTCACTCCGTAACATGCATTAAAATGAGCAACAATGAGAAATGATGTGAATATGAATGTACTATGCCAATTTTTCAAGATTATTGCTTTTAATAGGTTCGTGCAAGACTTGATTATTCATTTCATGGTTCTTATTTGAGTGACATTGGTCAAATAAAAAATGTTGATGATGGGAGATCTTATAAATGTAAAGATTTTAGTGGTATTTTTACTCTCTTTTTTTTTTTGGGTTTAGAATAATTTAGTCAAAATTGTTACATTTTTAGCCGATTGCTTTAATTAACTTGGAGAAACAATTGATTGAGCCAAACAAGAGAGGCACTTATTCTCTTTATGTAAAGGAGGTCTCAGTTAGCTCTCTATTTTCAATTGTGTCTTCTTCGGCATTCTCCCATTTGGTCTTGTACGTGTTGATAGATTGTTGGGATGTTCTAGAAGGAATTAACAGAGATGAACATTTCAGTAATATATAGAACTATTAAGTGACAAACCTCAACTTCATGTTTAGTTTTGTTCACCCACTCAAGCATCGAGGCAGAAAGGCGGATGAAAGAGTCGACTCAACCAGTTCAGATTCGTCGACTTTATTGTCGAGACTTATCGACGTTAAAGTCGACGAAACTTCACTTTCATTTTTATTTCGTTTTGTTTTGTCCACTTGATCATCAAGATAAAAATCTCTACGTTCTGGTCGACGAAACTTAAGTTTCATATTTTTTTGGGGGTCAACGATAGAAAGCCACATAAGATGAAAAAATTTACGTTGACTTGAACGTGGAGATGTATATCTCTGGATGATAAATTCACACGCCGAAATTCAAAAGGCGAAAAACATATCGTATGTATGTGGACACACACGTCGAGATCATTTTTCCCGTTTGTTGTGATGATATAATTAAGTTATGAAAGTAGCTGCCTTCCCATAACTTCGGGCAAAGAGAGAAGGTATTATTTTGATTGGAATTTGGTCCCTTCAATTCTTCTTATGTTTTCCGTTGATCTCTTTTTCTGTTCATTAAAAATTTTAATCATGCCCGAAACCGACAGTTGCCGCTCATGTTTTGAAGAAAACAAAAGGCATATCCCTATTTTCAGGGTCAAATTTGACATCCCAATTGAAATGTTGGTTTTCAAGGACAAATAGGAACAAAGTTGATGGTGATTTCACCATTCAATTTCAATCTCACTATGAAGAAAGATCAATCATCGTTTTAAACACTTATTATTTTGATCAATGCTGATTCCTTTCGTGAAATAGTGATAATTCCGTTTAAAATTTTAAAAGCAAATTAATGAACTTTATGTTTTAATCCGAAAAAATTATAGCAAACACTGTCAATTCATCTCTTCTACTAGCAACATAACCGTCTTTTTAACAAATAGGCATCTGAAACGTCGTAAGGATAATTAATCTTACAGCTGAAATAGCTTACTTAACAAGCACAGAAGTCACTGAAGAAATACATTTAACACATAAAAAAGTTAATTCATAGCTTGAAAATGCCAAAAAAAGAAAACAAGAAAAAATAGTTACACTAAGAACTCAATAAAAATTGAAATGTAAAATAACAATTAAAGAGATCATGATCTGTTAGAAGTTGAACATATATAATCTCACCAAGAACCGTAATCTTTTTAATTTGCTTATGTATCGAATATGGAAACTCAATTGAAGATTGAACAAAAATCATGGTTTAAAATTTCATAAAATTAACAACAGAAAAAGAGGAATAATATAACAAGTTAGCTTCTGTCCAAGAAGAAGGTTTCAAAAGGAAAAAAAAGAAAAAAGAAGAAAGAAAAGATGTACAATGGAAAACCAAACACGGCCAGAGGAAAAGAAAAATTAGGGTTCTGAAGATAATACAACATGGAAGAATATAGACAAACGTAGCAAAAAATCTAGGAAGCTCGAACTGATCGCGGGGCAAAAAGAACCCGGTTTGATGGTTTGAATATTCAACCCGTGTTGATGGCCCCCTTGCTATATATGTCTATGCTCTTGATTCTTAATCTATGCACAAACTTGAAACTGGTTTTCTGGCCAGGGTTGTGACTAATTGAAGCACATAATATTTTATGGATTTAAGGATAAAAAGAAATAGTCGAGGATGGTCTTATATTATATTTATATAGTGAAGCTGCAGATCGGATGAAATTAATTGAACAATATTCGAAGCTTTTGCTTTCCTTTATGTGCCTGGCCAGAATTCTCCGGAAGGAGAAGAGAGTTAATTAAAAGCCTGATTCAGAGTAAAGGGAAACGTCTGAATTCAGAACTTCAAAGGGAAACAAGAAAAATTACATCTAAAGCTGAAAGGAGAAGAATTAATATGATCCATGTTTCGTGTGATGAACAGGCTGCAAGAACACTAAATGAGTATCTACAGAATTTATTGAACAATATTTGATAGCTTTACTATCTTGTCTCCCTTCCTTACTTAATGCATACCATTGGGTAGTGAAGATTATCTAGAAGAATCAAATAGATCAGAGAAGGATCCAGGTTGATCACATGTATATAGAATGTATATAGAGTCAAAGTAGATTGTACATATTTTGACTGTGATTAGGGACTAATTTGTACATTGTGTAAATGTTAGGGCAGTTGTGTAAATAATCCAACTTAGAAGTTGAGTCGATTTACTCCAGTTGTATATATATTTAATGTGTCTGAGTTGTAGGATACGATTTTGGACATATTTAATATACAAAATCAATACACTTCTTAATTCTTCTAGTTAGTTACTACAAACCCTAATACTTGATCTATCTTTAATTGTTTTTGCTTCCGCTTGATTGATTTTGATACTCAAGATGATATCAGAGCAGGTTTAAAAACCTATTCTACGTCGGATTGTTTACAGAGGTGACCGGAATTTTTAGTTCTTTGGCTTCTAGATTTCTTGATAAAAGAAAATCATAAGTTCGAACCAGATCTGTTTGATTGAGAAGAAATGGCAGCAGGAGATCGTACTGGAGGCCGGTTTGAGGAGCAGAGGAGAGATCGAGAGATGCAGAGCTACGGCGGCTACAGTCATCCGCTGTATCTTCATCCCTCTGATACTGCTTCGTTGTTAATTGTTTCAAGCAAGCTGACGGATGTGAATTACATCTCATGGAGTCATGCAATTCGAAGATCTTTGGGGACCAGAAATAAGCTATGGTTCATCATCGGAGAATTGACAAATCCGATGATCGGACGTCCAGATTGAGAGCAATGGATTCGAGTCAACGACATGGTAATTGCTTGGATCTTGAACTCGATTTCACCTGAAATTGCTGAACATTATGATCTAGCTGTTAATGCTTTTGATTTGTGGGAAGAACTTAAAGAAAGTTATGGCACTAGGAATGGCCCTCAGATTTATAATCTCCGTAGGGAAGTTACCACAATTTCGCAATGGAGTTTAAGTCTGGCAGCTTATTACTCTAAGTTGAAGAGGTTATGGGATGAACTACAATATGAGGATTCATTGGACGAGTGTGTTTGTAATGGATGTACATGCAGGAGAACTAGGAATGGAGGTCGAGAAAATCGACACAAGCTAATGGAGTTTTTGAGTGGTTTGAATGACAGTTTCAACTCAGAAAGAAGCCAAGAGTTGATGATGGATCCTCTTCCTGAAGTAAAGAAGGCTTACTCCATGATGCTGAATGTGGAGAAGTAGCAAAATGGTACATAGGACTTTTGGAGAAAGCATTGAGCAAAGTGCAATGATGGTCCTGAAAAGGAACAATACTTACAACAATAGTGGGGTGAATAACTACAGCAAACTAGCAATGAAATTCTTTACATCAGGGAATACAAGTGGCATTGGGAAATTTGGTGGTTCTTTTGGAAAGGAAAATAATTGGAGGAGGGAAAAGGCAGCAAGAAAGCTCCTAAAATGGGACCACTGTCAAATGAATGGGCATCTTAAGACTGGATGTTTTCAAATTGTGGGTTATCTTGACTGGTGGAAAAGCTATAAAGAGACTAGGAAACAACTGGGGGTCAGAAATTCAGCAATGCAGTGGAAGTGACTACTGAAATGGAAAAAAGATCATCTTCAGGATAGAATGATGATATGATGACACTAATGAACAATCTGATGAGGATGATGAAAGGAAAGCTACCTGCAACAGAAGGAGAACATGCTAATTTTGCTCACTACCATGATTTCTCAGAAATGAGTAATTACACAGCTCTAAGTGTTTTGACTATGATTGAGAATAAATATGTGAGACTGTGGTTTCTTGATACGGGTGCTACTACACATATGGTAGCTTTGTTGAAGTTTTTAAGTAGTTTTGTGGCTGTACAAAGTATACACCAGTTTCCTTGCCTAATGGAAGTGTTAAACATGTTGAGCATATAGATAGTATACAACTTTC